GTGCAAAAGGACAACAAAGAGAACACAGGCTAAGTACTAAAGCATTTACTCAAAAAATATGGGTGATTGGCCAGGCACGGTGGCCCATGCCTATAATCCCAGCACTTTGGGAGACCGAGGCGGGCAGATCACTTGAGGTTGAGAGTTCAAGACCAGCCTGACCAACATGGAGAAACCCCATCTCTACTAAAAACACAAAATCTTTGGGAGGCCGAGACGGGCGGATCACGAGGTCAGGAGATCAAGACCATCCTGGCTAACACGGTGAAACCCCATCTCCACTAAAAAATACAAAAAACTAGCCAGGCGAAGTGGCGGGCGCCTGTGGTCCCAGCTACTCGGGAGGCTGAGGCAGGAGAATGGCGTGAACCCGGGAGGCGGAGCTTGCAGTGAGCTGAGATCCGGCCACTGCACTCCAGCCTGGGCGACAGAGCCAGCCTCAGTCTCAAAAAAATAAATAAATAAATAAATAAATAAAAACACAAAATTAGCCAGGCATGGTGGCGCATGCCTGTAATCCAGCTACCTGGGAAACTGAGGCAGGAGAATTGCTTGAACCCAGGAGGCGGGGGTTGTGGTGAATCGAGATCGTGCCATTGCACTCCAGCCTGGGTAACAAGAGCAAAACTCCATCTCAATAAATAAATAAATAAAATATGGGTGATTGACTTCCAAGTGCCAAGCATTTCCCTAGGGCTGGGCACAAAAGTTTCTATCTATCCTTTGTAACTTGAGAGTTTAGTTGGAAAAACAGGCCTTAATCAAAGAATCATAGAAAAAACAAATTTTTCAGGTGCAATAAGGGTCATCAATTAGAGATATACAGGGTATTAAGGGTATGAGAGGTCATGGAGGAGAAAGAATTAAAAGGGAAAGAAGGAGCATCCCTCACAGAGGAAGCAGATGGTATAGAGGCCTCATGTCATGTGGCACATCTGAGCAATAGAATGAAGCTCAGTGAGCCTGGGGTCAAGAACAAGCAGGGAGCCGGGCGCGGTGGCTCACGCCTATAATCCCAATACTTCAGGAGGCCAAGGCAGGCAGACCACTTGAGCTCACAAGTTTGAGGCCAGCCTGGGCAACATGGTGAAATACCATCTCTACAAAAAAATCAAAACAACTAGCCCAGTGTAGTGTAGTGGTGCAAGCCTGTGGGCCCAGCCACTCGGGAGGCTGAGGTGGGAGGATGGCTTGAGCCCAGGAGGCGGAGGTTGCAGTGAGCCAAGATCATGCCACTACACTCCAGCCTGGGCGACAGTGCCAGACCCTGTCTCAAAAAAAAAAAAAAAAAAAAGGTAGAAACTTCCTGATAAATTAGGCTAGCAGCTGAGGATTTCACTTGCTATCCTAAGAGCCAATGAAGTGTCTTTAAGCATGAGATCAGAGTATGGGGGAGAAATGACTCAGGTTTGTGTTTTAAAAGATTACTCTGACTAAAGCATGGATAAACTGGGGGTAGGAGGCAAAAAAATGTAGAGAGACCTATTGAGACCACTGCAAACAGAAATTGGCAATAGCTTAGACTAAAATAAGAGTGGCAAAGGGCCTGTGCAGAAGTCTGATGGATCTTGGAGAATGACTGTGGACTATCGTAAACTTAATCAGAGTGACTCCAACCGAAGCTGCTGTCCCAGATGTATCCTTTTTTTTTTTTTTTTTTGAGATAGTGTCTTGCTCTGTCACCCAGAGCTCAAACTCAGCTCACTGCAGCCTTGACTCAAGTGATCCTCCTGTCTCCCACGTAGCTCGGACCACAGGTGCATGCCACCATGCCCGGCTAATTTTTCTTGTAGGGATGGGGTCTCACTTTGTTGCCCAGGCTGGTCTTGAACTCCTGGGTTCAAGCAATCCTCCTGCCTTGGCTTCCCAAGCTGCTGGGATTATATCTGTAAGCTACCACGCCCGGGGCCAGATGTAGCATCTTCATTGATAAAGAACAGCTCTTGGCACTTGGTATGTAGCTACTAAATTAGAATCAAATTGGTATTTCTCCATATCAATTTATAAAGATCACCAGAAGTCGTTTGCTTTTACCTGGCAGGGCCAACAGTATACCTTCCCAGTGTTACCTCAGGACTATGTCAGTTCTGCTCTCTAGCATAATACAGTTCACAGAGATCTTGATCATCTTGGCAATCCACAAAATATCACACTAGTCCACTACAGTGATGACACTACGCTGTTGGATCCAATGAGCAGAAAGTACCAAGCACTTTAAATGCCTTAGTAAGACATAAATAAGAAGTTGGGAGTTAAACCCAAAAACAATTCAGGGGCCTGCCACCTCAGGGACATTTCTGGGGAGTCAACAGTATAGAGTTATGTCAAAATATTCTCTTCGAAGTAAGACAGGTGGCTGTACCTCATACCACCTCACACACACACACACACACACACACACACACACACGCACAATGTTTGATAGGTTTTTCTTGGCTTTTGGAGACAACATATACATTTGGACAGCACGGGCACCCAGTAGCTTCAGCTGGCACTCTCTCCTCCCTGGACAGTTTTGTAGCAGAGGCCTCCAGGGAGACACCTGTGAATGGCTTTTCCAAGCACACTACAAAGCAGATTTTTAATGAGGCTCAAAGAGCATACTTTTAGCAAGGTCTGGATCTCAGCTTTGGACACTGTCAGCCCCAGAGGTAGTGGCAGCTCTTTGTATCTGTTATTTCTACATTCTTTACTTGTTACTAACTAATCCCCTGTCAACTACAAACCCCTGTTGTAGTTAATAATTATTGAAATTAAACTTTCCCTGATTATAATACATGAATTTCTGTAACTGGATAGTATAATCTTCAAGATAGTGTAATCTTAAAAATAGTCAAGTTTAAAGGTAAACTCATGGCTGGGCACAGTAGCTCATGCCTGTAATCCCAACACTTTGGGAGGCCGAGGTCAGCGGATCCCCTGAGGTCAGGAGTTCGAGACCAGCCTGACCAACATGGTGAAACCCCATCTCTACTAAAAGTACAAAAATCAGCCAGGTGTGGGGCACACACCTGTAGTTCCACCTACTTGGGAGGCTGTGGCAGGAGAATCACTCGAGCCCGGGAGGCAGAGGTCGGCAGTGAGTCAAGATCGCACCACTGCACTCCAGCCTGGGCAACAGAGTAAGACTCCGTCTCAAAAAAAAAAAAAACAAGGGGGGGGGGGGGAACTCACAAGCTTAGCTTTTTTCTTTTTTGTAATGACAAGGTCTTGCTCTGTTGCCCAGGCTGGAGTGCAGTGGTGCAACCACGGTTCACTGCAGCCTCAAATCTTGCGCTCAAAGGATCTTCCTGCCTCAGCCTCCCAAGCAGGTGGAACTACAGGCACACACCACCATGCCCAGCTAACTTTTGTTGTTGTTAGAGATGGGGTATTACTATGTTGGCCAGGCTAGTCTTGAACTCCTGGTCACAAACAATTCTTCCACCTCAGCCTCCCAAAGTGCTAGGATTACAGGCAGAAGCCACACCTTGCAAGCTCAGTTCTGAACAATGTTAAGTTTGAGTTTACTTTAAAACACCCCAAAATAGGGCTGGGCACCATAACTCATGCCTGTAATCCCAACACTCTGGGAGGCTGAGGCAGGCAAATCACTTGAGGTCAGGAGTTCGAGACCAGTCTGGCCAACATGGTGAAACCCCATCTCTACTAAAAATTTTTTAAGAGTTGGCTGGACGTGGTAGCTCACATCTGTAATCCCAGCACTTTGGGAGGCAGACGGGGGTGGATCACGAGGTCAGGAGTTCGAGACTAGCCTGGCCAACATGATGAAACCCCATCTCTACTAAAAATACAAAAATTAGCTGGGCACGGTGGTGGGCGCCTGTGATCCCAGCTACTCAGGAAGCTGAGGCAGGAGAAACACTTGAACCCAGGAGGCAGAGGTTGCAGTGAGCTGAGATCGCGCCACTGCACTCTAGCCTGGGAGAAGGAGCAAGACGCCATCTCAAAAATAAAAAATAAAATAAAATAAAAATAAAAAGACAAAAATTAGCCGGAAATCACTTGAACCTGGGAGGTGGAGGTTGCAGTGAGCTGAGTGCCACTGCACTCCAGCCTGGGCAACAGAGTGAAGTTCAAGAGTTTAGAGAAATCTGGGATTAAGATGTGTTTATGAGTCATTCCATAAAAATGGTAAGTGAAGCCCTAGGCATAGCCAAAATGGCCTAGGGAAAAAGTAAACAGCAAGAAGACTGATGCTAGGACTGAATCTTGAGAAATCTCAACATGTAATAGCTGGATAAAAGAGATAAGCTTGCAAAGGAAATACTGGAGCTTCCAGAGAGGTAGAGGAAAGTGAGGACAGGGTTGTGTCCAGGTAAAGGGTGGCACCACAGGAATGCACGGCTCCTGTCTCCCTTCAGAGGGGGGGGGGGGGGGGGGGGGGGGGGGGGGGGGGGGGGGGGGGGGGGGGGGGGGGGGGGGGGGGGGGGGGGGGGAGCTGCAGGACTGAGATCCTGCTCCAGCTGGTGAAGAGAACTCCGTCTCAAAAAAAAAAAAAAAAAAAAAAAAGAACTTGCTGAGGCTGACTGGCTGCCTCCAGCTGCTTCCCACATCTTTGGACCTGCCACAGTGCTCATGCCAAGGTCACCCTTCTTCTAGGCTGCTAGAGCCCACTACAGAGCTGATGAATTGTCTGACAGGGAATCCTTGCCCTGGGGCTCCACACTGGCCTGGTTGAGACCTTCTCAGAATTGCACTGTAGTGAGAAGAACTTCGTATTTCCTTTCTTTCCTCTTCCCTTACTCATTCCTGCACTGCAGCCGGAGACTGCCCACCTCTGGCCTTCTAGTTAAGCACGATAATAATGTATCCCCTTGACTCAAGCATTTTTCTACTTAGAAATAAATGCATCCTAACTGACACACCACCCACAAGCTGACAGGAAAGGGCGAGCATGGTGTCTGCCAGATGTCAGACTGTAGGGTAGTTTGTGAAGATTAAAAAGGAAAATATTTTCCTCAGCTAACCACCAAATGAAAAGATATAAAACAAGAGGCTAGTTTAAAAACAGGAGAATATTTAATCCATCTAAAAATACACATCAGGAAATGAAGGAAACCATAGGAAAATCCTCCACCTCTAACAGACAAGAGTGAGGTTACTGGCTTTCTGCTTGCTCCAAGAATCCCAAGGCTTGATGTTTGGAAGAAATTATCTGTTCTTCAGCTACTCCCAGATACTCAGACATAAGTTACACACATCTGGAGAAGGGTTCTGCCCTGCTGAAGCTAGAAGGGAGCTCGATGCATGGGAGAAAGGAGCATTAATCTAGAAAAAAATGATCAAAGAACAGCTGGGTGACAGTGTGGGGCCATCCCAGGCAAGTGGGCTCCTGGTGCTCTGGTGTAGCCAGAATCCATACAAGCTGGGCTGGCCCAGGGAGGCCCCCAGTCAGCCTGTAGCTGAAGAGCTACAGCTTCTGTGTTCTTATTTACCATCATCAGCCACAGCCCTCGGAAGCAAAGCCCTGGACGCCTCCTTCAAGCCCCCTGCTGGTTGGTTTCATCATTATCTCGCCTCTTCCAAATCTGTAAGAAATGAAAACACAAACTGAAGTCTAGGAGGCATTCAGTCAACAGATACTTGTCAAATACCTATTCTGTGCCAGGCCATGGATAACTCGTCATGCCATTTACAAACCTGCTATACTCCATCTGGAAATCTGCTACAGTGGCTACAGTCACTGAAGGGAAGAAACAGTTATCTCTAGGAGAGGTATCACTTTCTTCTTACAAAGCTATGGCTTTTGTCTCAATCTTCCTTCTTTTGCCAGGTACTAGGGCAGTTACATAAAGAGAAGACAGAGATGCTCTGTGCTCCACGGGTCAATCCAATGGAGAGGACAGACAGGCAAAGCAATATGGTCGGCACTAAAACAAAAGGCAAGCAGAAAGTGCTGTGGGGTCACAAAGAGAGCTCTGCCTGGGGCTCTTGAGGAGTACTTCACAGTCGACTTCTAGCCAGCCTCCCTTCCTCCTTGAAACTAGACCGCACACTTCTGCAAAACTAATCTAGCCATAATCACAACTTTCTTTGCTCACTCATACATTTTCTTATAACTATTTTCTGAAAATCTCTGCTTGACTTTCAGGGCCATATATTCTGGCCCCAACTCACTCCTAAGTACTTCCCAACAGGTACCTGGCCCTCCAACCAAGGTCCTAACTCTATCCCTCTTCCTGCCTTGGCCCACTCCTCTCACTGGCCCCATACCCCACCTATTTGTGGCTCACTAAGCCTGTGGCCAACCCACCTGAATGTAAGCCTCTGACAGTGTGATCATCTGGGGAAGGATGTCAGTCACCTGGAGGTCTTGTAATTCATACCATTTGCCTGTCCCCTGCAGAAAGTATGAAGAGCTGGGTTAGTCTGCTCTCTAAAACCAAAAGGGTGTAGAAGGAAATGATCATAGCCAAGGTTAGAAAAATTAGAATAATAGCCACTAGACATCATCCAGCAAGAATCATAAAGAAGAGAGTACATGGGCCGGGCGTGGTGGCTCACACCTGTAATCTCAGCACTTTTGGAGGCCGATGCGGGTGGATCAAGAGGGCAGGAGATCAAGACCATCCTGGCTAACACGATGAAACCCCATCTCTACTTAAAATACAAAAAATCAGCTGGACGTGGTGGCGGGCGCCTGTAGTCCCAGCTCCTCAAGAGGCTGAGGCAGGAGAATGGCGTGAACCTGGGAGGCGGAGCTTGCAGTGAGCCGAGATTGCACCACTATACTCCAGCCTGGGTGACAGAGCGAGACTCTGTCTCAAAAAAAAAAAAAAAAAACAGAGGGTACATGACTTCTGTGGGCCTGATTCAATTAACAGGACTTTTGATGTGTCAATCATGGCAAACTCAATTTTTTAAAGTACAGTTTTTTTTGTTTGTTTGTTTGCTATTTGGTTTGTTTTTTTGAGACAGGGTCTCACTCTGTCATTCAGGCTGGAGTGCAGTGGTGTAACCACAGCTCACTGCAGCCTCGACCCTCTGGACTCAAGCAATCCTCCCGCCTCAGCCTCCCAGGTAGCTGGGACTACAGGTGTGTGCCACTACAACTGGCTAATTTTTTTTTTTAAATAGAGATGGGGTTCCACTGTGTTGCCCAGGCTAGCTCCTGGTCTCAAAAGATCCTCCCACCTCAGCCTCCTAAAGTGCTAGGATTATGGGAATAAGCCACTGTGCCTGGCCCCTTAAAGTACAATGGAGTCTGAAACACTTCTGTACATCTTTTTAAAAGGAATTTAGTGGACACTAAAGTGGAGAAAAGAGGAAGCCCTCTAATCATCACCTATGTCTCCTTCCTGCTCAGAAATGACAGACTAGACATTCGCACTTATGAGGTACACAGTGTCAACCACTGAGAGAACCTAAATATGGACATTCCTGGCTGGGTGCAGGGGCTCACGCCTGTAATCCCAGCATTTTGGGAGGCCGAGGCGGGCGGATCACTTGAGGTCAGGAGTTTGAGACCAGCCTGGCCAACATAGTAAAACCCCATCTCTACCAAAAATACAAAAATTAGCCAGGCGTGGTGGCAGGCGCCTGTAGGTCCCAGCTACTTGGGAGGCTGAGGCAGGAGAATCACTTGAACCCAGGAGGTGGAGGTTGCAGTGAGCCAAGATCATGCCACTGCACTCCAGCCTGAGTGACAGACGGAGACCCTGTCTTAAAAAAAAAAAAAAAAAAAAGCAACAGGTCATCAAGAAAAGGTGTCCTTGGTGGACACTGTCTATCACACTAACCTGATTCCTTTGGCCTAAGAAACCAGTGCTGCAAATACAGCAAAACATATCTCACTTCATGCTTCCACGAACAAGGGAAAAAGGTTTCTAGATTAAGGCAGAAGCACCTCTGGCCGCCCACCCTGCCTTATCCAACCAAAGTTCTAAGACATGCCAAAAACCACTATTGTAGAATATAAACATTCCAGATCCTCTGGATATTATAACAGTTGAGAAAATATGAAACAAGGAAAGCTCAGGATCACATAAGCAAGTTCCCATTCCTGCTTCAAGGACGAGTTAAGACATGAGCTTTGAAGCAGAGTACTTGGGTTCAAATCCTAATTCTACTGACTTGAGGTCAATTACTGAAACTCGGAGCCTAGGTCTCCTCCTCTGTAAAAAAGATGATACTGACACCTGTCTTGGAATTATGTTTTAATGAAAAAAAAATGAGATTAATGTACATTAAGTAACTGGCGTACTGCCTAATCACAGTAAAGCACTTGATAAACAGAAGCTAGTTAAGATTAAACCCACAGTTCCAGAAGAGACTAATCAAATGAGAACAATTTATGCTAATAATCTATGTGATATCAAATATATCAAGTACATGTTTTATCTGTTTTCAGCTTGAAATAAATTCACAAAATTTTTAAGATGAAAGGGAGCCCCTAAACCAGTGCTTCGCAAATTTCTTTTTTTTTTTTTTTTTTTTTTTTTTGAGACGGAGTCTCGTTCTGTCACCCCGGCTGGAGTGCAGTGGCACAAGCTCGGTTCACTGCAAGCTCCGCCTCCTGGGCTCATGCCATTCTCCTGCCTCAGCCTCCCGAGTAGCTGGGACTACAGGCGCCCGCCACCACGTCCGGCTGATTTTTTGTATTTTCAGTAGAGACGGGGTTTCACCATGTTAGCCAGGATGGTCTCGATCTCCTGACCTCGTGATCTGCTCGCCTCGGCCTCCAAAAGTGCTGGGATTACAGGTGTGAGCCACCGCGCCCAGCCACAAACTTTAATTTCTTACAAATCAGAGGGTCATGTTAAAATCCAGGTTCTGATTTAGTAGGTTTGAGGGGCCTGAGAGTCTGCATTTCTAACAAGCTGATTTCTTTTTTTTGAGACAGAGTCTCGCTCTGTCATCCAGGCTGGAGTCCAGTGGCGCGATCTCGGCTCACTGCAAGCTCCGCCTCCCGGGTTCACGCCATTCTCCTGCCTCAGCCTCCCCAGTAGCTGGGACTACAGGCGCCCGCCACCGCACCTGGCTAATTTTTTTGTATTAATTAGCAAAGGCAGGTGGATCACAAGGTCAGGAGTTCAAGACCAGCCTGGCCAAGATGGTGAAACCCCATCTCCACTAAAAATACAAAAATTAGCCGGGTATGGTGACGGGCACCTGTAATCCCATAATCCCAGCTATTTGGGAGGCTACAGCAGAGAACTGCTTGAACCCAGGAGGCGGAGGTTGCAGTGAGCCAATATCACACCACTGCACTCCAGCCTGGGCTACAGAGCGAGACTGTCTCAAAAAAAAAAAAAAAAAAAAAGAAAAGCTCCCAAGGTGAGTCCAATGTGTAGCTAAAATTGAGAACCACTGCCTTAAACTAACTACTGACAGCACTATTACTTGCAAAATCCCAAAGCCAAGGCCAAGCAAGGACAAACTGAAGGGAGCTGCCCTCTGAGACGCCAAAGAAACACCTGTTTTTGCCACTCTGTGCCATGAGACTAGGTCAGCAGCCACTCACATGATGAAGCACATGGATCCGGTAGGAGCCCTCGGAGGGCTTGCCATCATGCACGATGTTGGCAATGAGGTCATAGGTGGTATTCTTGTGTACTGCTTGTACTTCTTCAGACAAGTATTCTCTGAGATCCACATTGCTGTTAATGGTGAAAATAAAGCCGGAATAATCAGACAAAGGCTGTGCAGCTAAGGAAGCTGTCCTACACAAACAGACCACAAAGGCTCTCGGTAGGCCTGCAGAGTCAAGAAGGTCCAGTTGTGTTGGAATTCACAAAATATGCCAAAATGAATGACAGGGTTACACAGCTTCCCACATGACTAAAAAAATAAATAAATAAATGACAGGAAGTGGCTTATACCTATAATCCCAACACTTTGAGAGGTCAAGGTAGGAGGACTGCTTGAGCCCAGGAGTTCAAGACCAGCCTGGGCAATGTAGTGCGACCCCTACAAAAAAAAAAAAAAAATCAGCCAGACATGGTGGTACATGCCTGTGGTCCTAGCTACTCAGGAGGCTGAGGTGAGAGGATCACTTGAGTCCAGGAGATTACGGCTAAAGTGAGCCAGGACCACACTACTGCACTCCAGCCATGGCGACAGTGAGACCCTGTCTCACAAAACCCCCAAAAAGAAGAACTTTCAAACAGTTAAAAAGGAAAACATATAGACAGTTAACAAGATTATTAAGAGACTATTTTAAACACATAATTTTAGGAAAATATATCATTTTGGAGCCTACAAATATTTATAAAAACTTAAACAATACAAAGTAAAATTAAAAAGATATTACATCATAAAAGTTGTTTGATGTGCTACAACTCATTACATGAAACAAAACCATGTTATTACTGAAGAGTTCACAAGAAACAGCTAATGGTGGTCACGTCCAGTTATATATCTCCCTTTGAAGTCAGACTGTGAATCTACTAACTTTTCAAATTACAGAGTTTAAAATGTAAACCATGTGGTAATAAACAAACATACAACTTTGTTGTAATTATTATATGTAGCTTCCTATGTATTGGTGACAGCTATTTGTTTCTACAGACGGACAGTGTCCCATATATGATGCAGTCGGACTGCAATAAACATTTACCGTTAAGAAAATAGAGGCCAGGTGCAGTGGCTCATGCCTGTAATCCCAACACTTTGGGAGGCCAAGGCGGGCAGACTGCCTGAGCTTAGGAGTTCGAAACCAGCCTGGGCAACATGGTGAAACCCTGCCTCTACTAAAGTACAAAAAAAAAAAATTAGCTGGGTGCGGCGGCATGCACCTGTAGTCCCACCCACTCAGGAGGCTGAGGCAGGAGAATTGCTTGAACCTGGGAGGCAGAGGTTGCAGTGAAGCGAGATCACGCCACTGCACTCCAGCCTGGGCAATAGAGCGAGACTCCATCTCCAAAAAAAAAAATGGGAGGTATGAGTCCTCAGTCCATGTGAGCTCTAGATAGCCAACCTGCCTTCCTGCTGCCAAAAACTGACTTCTCATTTTCTCTTCAGCTTGAAAAAAAGCTGACTAGACTTGTCTAAATGAGTATCAGAGAAGTCTTTTTTTTTTTTTTTTTTTTTTTGAGACAGAGTCTCACTCTGTCGCCCCAGGCTGGAGTGCAATGGTGCTATCTCGGCTCACTGCAAGCGCCATCTCCTGGGTTCTCGCCATTCTCCTGCCTCAGCCACCCCAGTACCTGGGACTACAGGTGCCCACCACCACGCCCGGCTACTTTTTGTATTTTTAGTAGAGACGGGGTTTCACTGTGTTAGCCAGGATGGTCTCGATCTCCTGACTTCATGATCCACCCACCTCGGCCTCCCAAAGTGCTGGGATTACAGGCGTGAGCCACCCGCCCAGCCCGGAGAAGTCTTTATACTCAAGATTTCATGACTGAACCAAAACTGTCCATGTGGCAAAAGAGAAATACTACGTTTAATCATTTTGTTTTAGTAAACAGGAAAAGGAGCAAACTATTCATTTTTTTTTTTTTTAGTAGAGACGAGATCTTGCTATATTGTCCAGGCTGGTCTCAAACTCTTGAGCTCAAGCAAACCTCCCACCTCGGCCTCCCAAAGTGGTGACATTACAGATGTGAGCCACTGCACCCAGCCTGAAAGAGCAAACTATACTCATCTCCCAGCCACAGCAACAGACCAGTTAAGAGAATGGCTAATTACCTGAAAGTGAAACTTTAAACCTGCCCTCAAAAATCTGTCTCCAAATAAGCAGAGGGTGCCTAATCACTGTAAGTCTGATAACTCTGACAAAAATAGGATGTGTTATGAATAAATCACAGGAGAAGACAGGTATGAAAAGGATCTTTTTCAAGAAGTATGGACGATGAAATGATCCAGAATCGTATTACTCGAAGTAATTACAGCACATAAAATATTTAAAAGTGCAAGTTTCCAAAATTAGTCACAATTTGATGTTCTCTAAAAGACTGCCTAGTTAAGAACCAAGTTTTCTCTTAACTTCTCTGAAGTAAGCTTTCTGAAGGACAAACTTTTATACTGGGCCTACTCTAGGCCCATAAAAGAAAACAATGGGACAAGGAAATTTCTGTGGCAACTGAGCAGGAAGTATCATTGATACACAGTCTTCCTCCCTCTGGAGCTGCCCTTGGAATCAAGACTGCCCCTACCTACCAGGAACAGACAGATGGTATTCACAGAGCTAGTGTGAATAAAACCTGATGCCAACTTTCAAGAAGCAGCTCAGGGGCGGTGGCTAAGCCTGTATCCAGCATGGACGAGACCATCCAGGTCAGAGTCGAACCACCTGAACCGTCTCCTAAAAAATACAAAAAAACTAGCCGGCGCGTGGCGGGCCTGTATCCCAACTACTCGGAGGCTGAGCAGGAGAATGGCGTGAACCCAGGAGGCGGAGCTTGCAGTGAGCTGAGATCCGGCCACTGCACTCCAGCCTGGGCGGCAGAGCGAGACTCCGTCTCAAAAAAAAAAAAAAAAAAAAGAAAGCAGCTCTGCCATCCTACTCAAGGAGGCAGAGAGCAAACCTCCATGTCTCCCTATTTAATTCTACTGTCTCACAAACAAGATGTTAGTGGAGAAAAGTGGGGGAAAAGAGAAAAGAGAAAATTCCCCTGTAATTCTCAACTGCAAATGTTCTCTCTCCTCACCCTCCATGGTTCTAAGAGTCCTAGCAATACTATAACAAGATGTTACACCTGGACAAACCCCGAGGGCTCAGGCCCATCTACTCCAAGCTGCTCATTTTATCTTTGAGAGAACATACCCAGAAAACATGCAAACTACGGGTCTGAGGGCCCACCACTAAGGCAGCCTAAAACTTGGGCCTCTTAATTTTAGATACTACCTTCTTAAACGCTACGTAGAATTTAAAACTGACACTACTTCTTTCTTTCTTTTTTTTTTTTTTTGAGCACAGTCACACTCTATCACCCAGGCTGCAGGGCAGTGACACCATCTCACCTCACTGTAGCCTCAATCTCCAAGGTTCAAGTAATCCTCCTGCCTCAGCCCCTCAAGTAGCTGGGACTACAGGTGTGCACCACCACATCGGGCTGATTTTTTGTATTTTTTTTGTAGAGAAGGGGTTTTGCCATGTTGCCCAGGCTGGTCTTGAACTCCTGAGCTCAAGCGATCCATCTGCCTTGGCCTCCCAACGTGCTGGGATTACAGGTGAGCCACCATGACCGGCCCAACATCTTCTTAAGTGTGAAAAACCTTGTCTCTTGAGAACTGAAAACCAACAGTCTACCCCCAAAAGGATTTTGCAGAAGTTTTCTGAGTTAGAAGGAAGCAAATTAAAAGCATCTAGTACAACTCCAGTGTGCAAAAAGGTGTGATAGCCAGCAAATAGATGGGCAGACCCTCACTACTCAGGACATCTTCCAAACCAGGCAGAATTCTACTTGTCCTATCCTACTTGCATCATTTCTTCTTCTCTACGCAGGAGGACTATAATTTCCGGCCAGCAACAGGAGAGGAGATAAAACAGGGATTGCCTCCTAGTAAACATCCATCTTTTGTGGTCCCTGAAGTTAAGTGTAACCTTCCAATAAAAACTATTATCTACTGTAGGTAGGCTCTGTTAATTGTAATCCCCAACTAAGACAGTCCAAAATTAATACTGGTAAAAACATAAGAGAAGAAATCCAGGTTCACTCCCCGTGAGAGGAAGTGAAGCAGGGTGTTACTTACGTAATAGGGAAATTGACAATAGTTGGATTCTTCTCAACAAAGAAGTTGTTCTTAGTGAATCTCTTGATACAAAAGATTAGATATGGAGGTAGCTTGGTAAGCTGGAAGCGCTTCAGAAAGTTCTCCTTGTAAGTCTTATATTCCTAGAGAAAAAAAAGAAAATTATCAAATTAGTGCTGAAGTTCAGTAGGTATTAGAGCAGGGGCATGAGGTTTTCATTTTGGTTTTTGAAAATGTAATTTTGCCTCACACCGAAAGTTCACAAGACTCTTGGTCCCAGAAATTATGTATGAGGCTTAGGATGTGCAGTTTGGCTAAGGCTGACTTAAAAAAAAGGCCAGGCCTGGTGGCTCACGCCTGTAATCCTATCACTATAGGACGCCGAAGCAGGCGGATCACTTCAGCACAGAAGTTCCAGACGAGCCTTGACAACATGGTGAAACCCAATCTCTACTAAAAAAGAAAAAAAAGAAAAAAAAAAAAAAAGGCCGGGCGCGGTGGCTTACGCCTGTAATCCCAGCACTTTGGGAGGCCAAGGCCGGTGGATCATGAGGCCAGGAGATCGAGACCATCCTGGCTAACATGGTGAAATCCTGTCTCTACTAAAAATACAAAAAATTAGCTGGGTGTGGTGGCGGGCGCCTATAGTCCCAGCAACTCGGGAGGCTGAGCCAGGAGAATGGCGTGAACCCGGGAGGCAGAGCTTGCAGTGAGCCGAGATCGCGTCACTGCACTCCAGCCTGGGCGACAGAGTGAGACTCTGTCTCAAAAAAAAAAAAAGAAAAGGAAAAAAAATATATATATATATATAAATATGTATGTAAAGAAAGCAAGCTAACCAGGCATGATGGTTCATGCCTATAATCCCAATATTTTGAGAGGCTGAGGCAGGCAGATCACTTGAGGCCAGGAGATCGAGACCAGCCTGGCCAACATGGTGAAACCCCATCTCTACTAAAAATACAAACATTAGCTGGGCATGGTGGCATGTACCTGTAGTCCCAGCTATTCAGGAGGCTGAGGCAGAAGAATTGCTTGAACCTGGTAGGCAGAGGTTGCAGTAGGCTGAGATCACACCACTGCACTCCAGACAAGGAAACAGAGTGAGACTCCATCTCAAAAAAAAAAAGTATGTCTCCCCACTTTTTGGAGTTTCTCCTCTCCTAAATGACCTTCCTTTCTCTATACTACCCAGAAGCAGGCAGAAAGCTGAAAAAAGGATATATGAGAAGTACAAGAGGGGGCACTGTGGTTGGGCACCGGTTCACATCTATAATCCCAACACTTTGGGAGGTCAAGGTGGGAAGATACCTTGAGGCCAGGAGTTAAAGACCAGCCTGGGCAACAGAGTGAGAGCTCTCTCTACAAAAAAACTTAGCTGGGCATGGGGAAGCGTGTCTTTTTTTTCTTCACAAAATAAAAAATTGGCCAGGCACGATGGCTCTCACCTGTAATCCCAGCACTTTGGGAGGCCGAGGCGGGTAGATCATCTGAGGTCGGGAGTTCGAGACCAACCTGACCAACATGGAGAAACCCCATCTCTACTAAAAAGTCCCAGCTACTCAGGAGGCTAAGGTGAGAGGATCACTTGAGCCCAAGAGTTTGAAGTTGCAGTGAGCCATGATCATGCCACTGCACCCCAGCCTGGGTGACAGAGCAAGACCCTGTCTCAGAAAATAATAAAAAGATGGGCACTGTAAGTTAAGAGTTGGGGGTGACCAGCTAGAAATACCAAGGAGTCTGGGAGGCTCAATAAAGTCAATATACTTTAAAATAAATACATTACATACATGTGGTGATTCTTATGTATAAAATGAAAATGGGCCGGGCGTGGTGGCTCACGCCTATAATTCCAGCACTTTGGGAGGCGAGGCAGATGGATCACTTGAGGTCAAGAGTTCGAGACTAGCCTGGCCAACATGCTGAAATCTCATCTCTACTAAAAATACAAAAAAATTAGCTGGGCATGGTGGTGGATGTCTGTAATCCCAGTTACTCAGGAGGCTGAGGCAGGAGAATCACTTGAAACTGGAAGGTGGAGATTGCAGTGAGCTGAAATCATGCCACTGCACTCCAGCTTGGGCGACAAGAGCAAAACTGTCTTGAAAAAGAAAAAAAAAAGAAAATGAAAAAGTCGAGAGCGCAAAGATAAGTATAGGTAGGGCAGGTGTGTTAATGGGCTACCTTCTCAGTGATGCCATTGAATTTGGCCAGGATGTTGAAGAGTGGCACTTGGGGAATGATGAGCTGCTCCTTCTCGTCCTTGTAGAGGGGGGCAGTAGGAAGGTCAAGTGTCAGGTACATAAAAGTGGACTCCACCATCGTCTCCTGGTACTCATCATTATGGAGCAACTGCTCTTTTTCTTCTGCTGGCTAGAAATGAATGAGAAGAAAAGAGAGGAAAGAAGTGTGAGTGGTATAAGAACAAACACAGAACCGGTGTTTTGCTACACTGACATTTCCTTCATCTCAAAGAACAAAGAGAGGTGCCTGAGAGATTGGGCAGTTGGCATGCACCACCTGGTTAGATTAACTTAAGAACCAACAGGTTTCCTTCTTTAAAGAGATTTTGCTTATATACCAGACTATCTAAAAAGCTCTGAGGCCAAGTGTGATGGCTCACGCCTATAATCTCAACACTTTGGGAGACAAAGGTGAGAGGACTGCTTGAGTCCAAGACTTCGAGACCAGCCTGGGCAACACGGGGAGACTCTATCTCTACAAAAAATAAAAAACTGGCCGGGCACGACGGCTCTCATCTGTAATCCCAGCACTTTGGGAGGTAGAGGGAGGTAGATCACCTGAGGTCGGGAGTTCGAGACCAACCTGACCAACATGGAGAAACCCCATCTCTACTAAAAATACAAAATCAGCTAGGCGTGGTGGTGCATGCCTGTAATCCCAGCTACTTGGGAGGCTGAGGCAGGAGAATCACTTGAACTTGGGAGGCGGAGGTTGCAGTGAGCCAAGATCGTGCCATTGCACTCCAGCCTGGGCAACAAGAGTGAAACTCCGTCTCAATTAAATAAATAAATAAATAAATAAATAAATAAAACTAAAATAAAAATTAAAAATTAGCCCAGTGTGCTGCTGTGCATCTATAGTCCCAGCTTCTGGGGAGGTTGAGGTGGTAGGATCACTTGAGCAGGGGAGGTTGAGGCTGCAGTGAACCATAATCACACCACTACACTCAGCCTGAGTGATAGAGTGAGATCTTGTCTCAAAAAGAAAAAAAAAAAAATCCATTAAAAAAAGAAAGAAAGTGGGCCAGGCACAGTGGCTCACGCCTGTAATCCCAGCACTTTGGGAGGCCGAGGCGGGTGGATCACCTAAGGTCAGGAGTTTGAGACCAGCCTGACCAACATGGTAAAACCTCGTCTCTACTAAAAATAGAAAAATTAGCCAGGTTTGGTGGCACATGCCTGTAATCCCAGCTACTTGGGAGGCTGAGGCAGGAGAATTGCTTGAACCCGGGAGGTGGAGGCTGCAGTGAGCTGAGATCATGACATTGCACTACAGACTGGGCAACAAGAGCAAAACTCCATCTCAAAAAAGAAAAGCTCTAAGACCATCTAAGACGCTTAGCTGAGGGCCAGGCGCAGTGGCTCATGCCTGTAATCCCAACAGTTTGGGAGGCCAAGGCAGGCAGATCACCTGAGGTCAGGAGTTCCAGACCAGCCTAGACCAACATGGTGAAGCCCCATCACTAGTAAAAACACAAAATTAGCTAGGCATGGTGGTAAGCGCCTGTATTCGCAGCTACTGAGGAGGCTAAGGCAAGAGAATCGTTTGAACCCAGAAAGTAGAAGTTGCAGTGAGTGGAGATGGCGCCACTGCACTCCAGCCTTGGCGAAAGAGGAAGACCGTCTCAGAAAAACAAAAAGAAAGCTTAGCTGAGCTTTCTGAAAAAACACAGCAGCACCACTTAGTTGGCCAGAACACTTCAACCAGCAAAGTACATCCAACCACTAACTCCCAAACTGAAAAGTGAGCCGCCACTAGGCAGGTGCTTTGTTGAACCTCTTCATGGGGCAAGCAGGCTTGTCAGTTCTCTAAGCATCTCTTCATCTCCCCTGCGTCCCCTCAAGCAATATAAATCAGTCCAAGACCCAGGCTCAGCTAACTCACCAGATCAGGATGGGGAAGCTTTTTAGTGAAGATCCTCATGGACCCCTGGAAAACATCAGTCACAATAGCTGCACAAACAGGAAGCAAGAGACAAATTCCATGAGGATGGAAAACATGTCTAAAATATATTTCCAGCTTGTAAATTTCTGAAATAAACCAGCATCTTCCAACAAAAGACCCAGAGCTCTCACTAAACACAGAAGTTTCCTTTTGTACCATATACCACCAGGGTACCTTTATAATTATTTGTGTAAATAATTACTTTATTTCTCTTCCTTAAGACAACTTTTGATCCTCCATCACAGGGCCTGGTCCATAAAAGAAAAGGTAAATGTATTCAAAATGAAGGAATGATTTACAGAGCCCGGCAATACATGAATTACAAAAAAAATCCACAAGAGAAACAAGGAAAACCAAGGAACTTCCCATAACCATAAGCTACTTTCAAAGGGAGACAATGTCCAAACTGTAATGAAGACAAGAGGACAATGACAGACTAAGAGATGGGCCAGAACAGGATCAAAGCAACAAGAGAGAAAGCACAACCAAGTTCTAGAATCCTGCCAAAACGTAAGTTTGAGAGCTCACAGGGTTAACACAGGCTGAAGACACCTGGTAGAGAGGGCAGGGCCATCCAGTGGGAAGAGCAACAGGCCATAATCCCACATCAAGACACCATCACGCCTATAATCCCAGCACTTTGGGCAGATCACCTGAGGTCAGGAGTTTGAGACCAGCCTGGCCAACAAGGTGAAATCCCATCTCTACTAAAAATACAAAAATTAGCTGAGCGTGGTGGTAGGTGCCTGTAATCCCAGCTACTTTTGGGAGGCTGAGGGAGGAGAACTGCTTGAACCTAGGAGATGGAGGCTACCATGAACTGAGACTGTGCCACTGCACTCCAGCCTAAGTGACAGAGCAAGACTCCATCTCAAAAAATACATAAAATAAAATATCATTGTGACTATAACCATATTCTAGCAAAAACTATGCAGAGGGGCCTATTCGGAAAGAACATTTAGTTTATGTATAAAACAGATACCACCCTACCCCAGATAAAGAGTTAACAAAAGAATGGGAAGTTGCCTCAGCCCCACAAGTCGCTGGGACTACAGCCACCACACCTGGCTAACTTTTGTATTTTTGGTAGAGATGGGGTTTCACCATGTTGGCCAGGCCGGTCTCAAACTCCTGACCTCAGGTAATCCACCCACCTCGGCCTCTCAAAGAGGATTATAAGCATGAGCCATCTCGCCCAGACGCAAAGTTTTTTAAAAGGGAACAAAAGAGCTCCTTTTTTTTTTTTTATCAGTAAATGACTTACTCTTCTTCTTCTTCTTTGTGCCCCCCAGAGCTGAGTGCAGAGCATTCAGAAACCAAGACAGAAAGTCGACTCCATCTCCTGGAAAAAAAGGAAGGATAGAAAACGTTGAAGCTAAGTGGCATTAGAGTTAACTTAAACCATGCACTGGTTGGCATTCCTGATTCTCCCCCTTCCTCTCTGGCCATGCCATCCCATCCCAACTCCTGTGCATCCTCCTCTATCTGATCATTAAATGCTGGCACTCCTCAAGGTCAAGCTCTAACTCTTCTGATCTTGACTCTCTCCATAGGCTATCTGATTCATACCAGGACTGTATTGTATCACTCAGGGATGACCAAAACAAATGAATATGACCTTTTAACATCCACTTCTCTCCAGAGTGAGCTCACACTTTCTTCTTCCCTTCTGTAGCTCACAAAGATTCCTATCTTGTAGGAAAGTGACTAGCATACAGACTGAAAAGGCATACAGAACAAGGGGTTCTGGAAACAAGCAGGTTGACAATATTCCATGAAAATGCTGTCTACAGAGCCTGCCACTCAGACATTTCTGGGATAATGGCTACTTTTTTTTTTTTGAGACAGAATCTCGCTCTGTTGCCCAGGTTGGAGTGCAGTGGCATGATCTCAGCTCACTACAACCTCCCCTCCAGGGTTCAAGCGATTCTCCCACCTCAGCCTCCCAAGTAGCTGGGATTACAGGCGCCTGCCACCAGGCCCAGCTAATTTTTGTATTTTTAGTAGAGATGGGGCTTCACCATGTTGGCCAGGCTGGTCTCAAACTCTTGACCTCAAGGGATCCTCCCACCTCAGCCTAATGTTTACTTTCTCATCAACTAAGATTTGCTTCTATTTAGTTCCTCTTTGCTCACCCAATTAAAATGTCAAAGACTATAGTATATCTTCCTCGATTTCATTTCCCTAAACCCAGAGACCCCTGACAACTCCATAGATTATTTTCTTTTTATTCCATACATAGAATGCTTTTACATGACAACAAACTACCACAACAAGAAACACTTCACACATCTAAACGCTAGGCAAGTAATAACCTACTAGGTCTCAGAGATGGAGGAAATCATGTTTATGTGACATCGTAACTATCATAGCCAACAGTGGCTGTGATAGAAGAAACCAGACATATTCATTCTCAACTGATTTTTCTGCAACTCTACAACCCAATTATGCCATAACTTTCCAAACTGCCAAAAGCTGACAGGCCCCACTATCCACCTTCAGGCCAGAAGTCACCTGTGGAACACAGTGAATGCTGACATTGATCCATCCATTCATGGTCCACAAAAACATCATTCTCAGCAAAAATTGTTTCCTTTGTTGCAGCCTTAATATAAAACCCTGGGAGCTCAGAGAGTTGGTCCAGAAACAGAAATGTCCCTATAAACACAAGATAACCTAGCCACCTAGTTCCTGGGAATTAGATGGTCCTACAAAGCACACAAACAGGCTGTCAACTGTTTAGAAGGGTGAGGCACCCAGATTTTTTTTTCCCGACACAGGGTCTCGCTCTGTCGCCCAGGCTGGAGTGCAGTGACACAACCTCAGCTCACTGCAAGCTCTGCCTCCCAGGCCCAAGGAATCCTTCCACCTCAGTTTCCCAAGTAGCTGGGACTACAGGCGTGTGCCATCATGCCCGGCTAACTTTTCGATTTTTTGTCAAGAGGGAGTCTCCCTATGTTGCTCAGGCTGGTCTTGAACTCTTGGGCTCAAGCAATCCTCCCACTTCGGCCTCCCAAAGTACTGGGATTACAGGCATGAGCCAGGGTGCCTGGCCCCAGATTAAGATTTTATTGGCCATGTTGTAAACTACTAAACACCATCAATTGCCAAGCCCAAATAGCTTATAACTTCTGCTCGGCTGAGACTAAATCATAGGGCTTCTGATCAATATATATTATCCAATCCGAAGTGTATCTTATTTCCTACTAACCCTGAACCAAGTGCTCCATGGGCCCCATTCCTTATCACTTTTGATTCCTCCTATTTCTCCTTAACTAAGGAGAAATAGGCTTTTGAGAGACTCTTAAAAGCCACTACTCGACTTCCCCTCTAAGTCAATCCTCAGCCAGAATAATGTTTTTCTTTTTATTTTACAGATAGAGGTCTCACTCTGTTGCCCAGACTGGAGTACAGTGGAGCTAACATGGCTCACTACAGCCTCTACCTCCTAGGCTCGCGCGATCCTCCAACCTCAGCCTCTCAAGTAGCTGGAACTACAGGTACACACCACCATGCCTGGGTAATTTTTAAAAACTTGTTATAGATACAGGGTCTCATTATGTTGCGCAGGATGGTCTCGAACTCCTGGGCTCAAGCGATCCACCCACCTCGACCTCCCAAAGTGCTGGGATTACAGGTGTGAATGACCATGCCCAGCTAGAATAATGTTTTTAAAACAAATTAAGTCTGATGTCACATCTTTGTTAAAAGCCTTCAATGAGGCCGGGCATAGTGGTTCACGCCTGTAATCCCAGTACTTTGGGAGGCCGAGGCAGGTGGATCACCTGAGGTAAGGAGTTCAACACCAGCCTGACCAACATAGTGAAACCCCGTCTCTACTAAAAATACCAAAAAATTAGCCAGGTATGGTGGCAGGTGCCTGTATTCCCAGCTACTCGAGAGGCTAAGGCAGGAGAATTGCTTGAACCCGGGAGAGAGAAGCTGCAGTGAGCTGAGATCACACTACTGCACTCCAGGCTGGGCAACAGAGTGAGACTCCCTCTCCGGGAGAAAAAAAAAAAAAAAAAGCCTTCAATGACTCCAGCTATTGTCAGGATATAATCCAAGCTCTTTATGGTGGCTTACAAACCAGGCCATCTGGTCCCTCCCTCAGGAGCTACACGTTGGCTCTCCATTGACCCCTGGAGTCCAAGGGTCCCGCTACTTGCAGTCTGTCTATGCCAGGCACTTTTCTCTTCTGCCCACCATGTCCTCTCTACCTGGAATGTTCACTCCCCATCCCAACCTGCCTCCACATCTACCTAAAACTCAGGGTCTCTTCCTCCACTCTGACCTCTTATCTACCTCCCACATGTTCAGTTGAGGGGGTCCTTACTCCATGCTCCCCTCCCATAGCACAGCACTTAACACCTGTAATTACCTTTTCTAAAAAAAGATAGTTGAGCCAGGCGCGGTGGCTCACGCCTGTAATCCCAGCACTTTGGGAGGCTGAGGCAGGCGGATCACGAGGTCAGGAGATTGAGACCAGCCTGGTTAACACCATGAAACCCCGTCTCTACTAAAAATACAAAAAAATTAGCCAGGCATGGTGGCACATGCCTGTAGTCCCAGCTACTCAGGAGGCTAAGACAGGAGAATCACTTGATTCTGGGAGACAGAGGTTGCAGTGAGCCAAGATCGTGCCATTGCACTCCAGCCTAGGCAACAGAGCGAGACTCCGTCTCAAAAAAAAAAAAAAAAAAGACAGTTGAAATTGCTTACTAATTTTTTTTTTTTTTTTGAGACGGAGTCTAGCTCTGTCACCCAGGCTGGAGTACAGTGGCGCAATCTCAGCTCATTGCAAGCTCCGCCTCCTGGGTTCACGTTATTCTCCTGCCTCAGCATCCCAAGTAGCTGGGACTATAGGCGCCCGCCACCACGCCCGGCTAATTTTTCTATTTTTAGTAGAGACGGGGTTTCACCGTGTTAGCCAGGATGATCTTGATCTCCTGACCTTGTGATCTACCCACCTCGGCCTCCCAAAGTGCTGGGATTACAGGCGTGAGCTACCGCGCCCAGCCTGCTTACTTATTTTTAAAGACAGGGTCTTCCTCCGTTACCCAGCTGGAGTGCAGTGGTGTGATCATAGCTCACTGTAGCCTTGAACTCCTGGGCTCACGCAACCTGCCTCAGCCTCCCAAGCAGCTCAGACCACAGGCTTGTGCCAGCACACTCAATCTTTCTACATAACTTTATTTCCCCACTAGACTGTGAGTTCTTCAAAGAGAAAAATCTTGTATTTTATCCCTGCTGCTCTAAAACCTAGCACCATGAGTGAATGTTGAACAAACTAATATGGATGCTAGACGATATGATATGAGATTCAGGTACAAAGTTACACTGTCCGCCTTACTCATAAGGCAATAACACATTGGGTCTGGAGAGATAAAAACAGTCAAAATAGTTCATCAGAGGCTGGGTGCAGTGGCTCACACCCATAATCCCAGCACTCTGGGAGGCCAAAGTGGGTGAATCACTTGAGGTCAGGAGTTCAAGACCAGCCTGGCCAACATGGTGAAACCCCCTCTCTACTAAAAATACAAAAATTAGCTTGGCACGTTGGCGGGCATCTGTAATCCCAACTACTTGGGAGGCTGAGGCAGGAGAATCCCTTGAACCCGGGAGGCAGAGGTTGCAGTGAGCACAGATCATAACACTGCACTCCAGCCTGGGCAATGGAGTAAGACTCGGTCTCAAAAAAAAAAAAAAAAAAAAAAAAATCATCAGAATACCCTAATGCGGGACATGAAAAAATGAGGATAGGTGACAGGTGTTTAATAAAAGCTAGTGTCTTTCCCAGTCTCCTGGTATTCCCCTAAGCCATACAGTTTAATTTACCAAATAAGACCGACTTTCTATTCAGCTACAATCTCCTGGGACTCTTAGCAGGGCAGACTGGTCAGAGGAGAATGAGGAACCTAACCACACAATCCACTGGACACTCCTGGCTACTCTCAAGATTCACTGCAGCTGGGTACAGTGGCTCACGCCTATAATCACAGCTACCTGAAGCTGAGGCAAGAGGATCCCTTCAGTCCAGAAGTTCAAGGCTGCAGTGAGCTACAAATCCCACCACTGTACTCCAGCCTAGTCAAAAGAGCAAGACTCTGTCTCTTAAAAAAACAAAACAAAACAAAACAAAAAAAGGCCAGGCGCAGTGGCTCATGCCTGTAATCCCAGAACTTGGGAGGTCGAGTAGGGTGGATCACGAGGTCAGGAGTTCGAGATCAGCCTGGCCAACACAGTGAAACCCCGTCTCTGCTAAAAATACAAAAATAAGCCGGGCATGGTGGCACGTGCCTGTAGTCCCAGCTACTCGGGAGGCTGAGGTGGGAGAATCACTTGAACCCTGGAGGCGGAGGCTGCAGTGAGCCGAGACCATGCCATTGTACTCCAGTCTGGGTGACAGAGTGAGACTCCATCTCAAAAAAATAAAATAAAATTAATTAATTTTAAAAAAATTCACTGCCAAGTAGAAATAAATTTGTTCATCAAACTAGTTTTGTTGTCCTGAAACATAAATGACTTGTTCTTACCTTGTTTGGTGATCTGAAAAGTCTTCTTACTGCAAAGTACAACCGCCTGAAGCATCTCATGGGGAGACACATGTGCTTTGAAATTTCGAGGGTTCCAAAGCTTTCTCATCAGCTCTCCAAAACGCTGGACCAACAAGAACATGATATCCCCTGGAGGACGCTTAATGTTCTTATAATTGTCTTCTTCCAGAAAGTAGTTCCGGAGAGGAGGAACATTAGATAGAGCCTGAAAATCAAACACTCCGATTAACCCAAAGCCCCTTTGTAGGACCCCTTGAGCCAAGCTCTTCCAACTAAAGTTCTAACAGAATCTTGTGATGTGCCTGTGATGGCCTTAAAGAGCCAAAGTAAATCGACCCTTGGAGAATCCTACCCAGGCTCACATTACAGAAATATCATTAATATTGAGTTTCATATGACCTACAGTTCTACAGACACTTTGCTGATGTGGATACCACAAAGAAGGTTAAAACAAAACAAAAAAAAACCCACAGGTATTCAAATCTCTATCAACTTACTCAACAATTTCCTTTTGTTACTCTAATTATGCTGTGACAATACTTAAATTCATAGAGTAGAAAGGTAAAATCCAAATACCCTTTCCTTAATCATCCATTTTGGCTGAAGCAAAAATAACTACCTAGGAAACACAGTTCTCCCATCTCTCAACTCCACACTAAAATAATATGAAAATTATCTTAAAATTTGATGTTTTCCCATAATAAAACCATATAATTGTACATAAAAGTAAATATAGGGAGCTGTGAGGACGCAAAGGAGTAAGAATGATACAACGACCTTTGGGGACTTGGGGGAAAGAGTGTGAGGAGGGGTGAGGGATAAAAGACTACACATCGGGTACAGTATACACTGCTCGGGCGATGAGTGACCAAAATCTCAGAAATCACCACTAAATAACTTATTCATGTAACCAAAAACCACCTGTTCCACAAAAACTTATTGAAATTTTTTTTTATTTTTGGAGACAGAGTCTTGCTCCATCCCCCAGGCTGGAGTGCAGCGGCATGATTTCAGCTCACTGCAACCTCTGCCTCCAGGCTTCAAGCAATTCTCATGCCTGAGCCACCGTGCCCAGCCAAAATTTTTTTTAAAAAGTAAATATACTGTTATGATGGAAAATGGTCGGCCAGGCGAGGTGGCTCATGCCTGTGATCCCAGCACTTTGGGAGGCCGAGGCGGGAGGATCACCTGAGGTCAGGAGTTCAAGACCAGCCTGGCCAACATGGTGAAACCCCCTCTCTACCAAAAATACAAAAATTAGCCAGGCGTGGTGGCAGGTGCCTGTAATCCCTGCTGCTCGGGAGGCTGAGGCAAGAGAAAATCACTTGAACCCAGGAGGCAGAAGTTGCAGTGAGCCAAAATGGCACCACTGCACTCCAGCCTGGACAACGACAGCAAAACTCCATCTCAAAAAAAAAAAAAAAAAAAAAGAAAAGAAAAAGAGAAAATGCTCAAAAGGTTTAGGACAATAAAAGCAAATTGGATCTCATTAAGCAGAAAGATAAAAATTAGCCATATTGGTTTCAGGAAGAAACACAGGCTCATTAGCCTGAGCTACAAAACTGGGAGGCAGGGTCTGGGTGTGGTGGTTCATGTCCACAATCCTAGCACTTTGGGAGGCCAAGGCGGGTGGATCATTTGAGGTCAGGAGTTTGAGACCTGCCAGGCCAACACGGTGAAACCCCGTCTCTACTAAAAATACAAAATTAGCTGGGCATGGTGGTGAGTGCCTGTAATTCCAGCCTCTTGGGAGGCTGAGGCAGGAGAATCACCCGGCGGGGGCAGAGGTTGCAGTAAGCCGAGATCGCTCCATTGCACTCCAGTCAGGGCAAAAAGAGCGAAATTCCATCTCAAAAAAGCAAAACAAAACTGGGAAGAGGAGGACCAAGCAGACCCTAAATAAAAATGCAGTATCCCCACAGATCCTTCCTGACCAGCACTGTGCTTACCATGAACACATTTCTTCCTTAAACAAGGTCATCTATTCAGGGAGTCAGCTAGAAGGGCTTCTGCTAAACGTAATAAACTCAGGCATCTCTAAGGAAGACAACTCAAAACACAGAGAGCACTGGCCGGGTGCAGTGGCTCATGCCTGTAATCCCAGCACTTTGGGAGGCTGAGGCGGGCAGATCACGAGGTCAGGAGATCAAGACCATCTTGGGTAACATGGTGAAACCCCGTCTCTACTGAAAATACAAAAAATTAGCCGGGCGTGGTGGCGGGCACCTGTAGTCCCAGCTACTCGGGAGGCTGAGGCAGGAGAACGGCATGAACCCAGGAGGCGGAGCTACTAGCAGTGAGCCAAGATCGCGCCACTGCACTCCAGCCTAGGCGACAGAGCGAGACTCCGTCTCAAAAAAAAAACAACAACAACAAAAAGAACACAGAGAGCACTTTAACCGTAGAGGGGATTAGGAAAGCCCTGACAAGCTGAGCCCAGCTAAAGAAACAAGGACTTCCAACTTGTAGAATAATTACTTCAAAGAGAGATTTACTCTCAAAACAAGAGGATGCATAAAGTTTATCCTAATTCTCAGTTGTCTATCTTATAGAGAAATGTTGCACTCTGGCTTCAGCAACAATACAAATAATATTGGACATCCTCAGAGAAGAATTATCCACCCTCCAGATGGATGACCTGGTCCAGTCAACCCTATTTTAGCGGAAACATCATCACACAGGGTTTGTTCATCCATTTATTTTTATAAAGAGACGTTCCTACATGAACTAAAATTCATCAGAAAGCCAAGACTAACAGCTCTGACCAAATCCAAATTCTATCTGTCCATCCTATAAGTTTTCACTCAGCGGGGCATGGTGGTTTACACCTGTAATCCCAGTACTTTGGGAGGCCGAGGGGAGCGGATCACGAGATCAGGAGATCGAGACCATCCTGGCTAACATGATGAAACCCCATCTCTACTAAAAATGCAAAAAATTAGCCAGGCGTGGTGGCACATACCTGTAGTCCCGGCTACTTGGGAGGCTAAGGCAGGAGAATCGCCTGAACCTGGGAGGCAGAGGTTGCAATGAGCTGGGATTGCGCCACTGCATTCCAGCCTGGGAGACAGAGCAAGACTCCATCTCAAAAAAAATTAGTTTTCACGCAGCCATGAGAGGATTTAAAGGGAACATCTGATGAAAAGTCTCTCTCTACCTAAGAATTTGACCTTTCCACAGACTAGGCATGACACCAAGAGCAGACACCAAATGTAAAAACTACGCCTTTACAGTTTTTTGTCCAATTCTTCATGACAAAAATATCACTTAGAAAAATTTAAAGGCCAAATAAGTACTAGCAGAAAACATTTGCAACATATCCAACAGAAAAGGGCATAACTTCATTATATATTTCTTAAAGCTCAGTAAGATGAACCAATAGGAAAGGAGTCTATAAGGTGCAATAACTCAAGAAAAAAATATAAATAATCAACTTTAGAAGTGAAGCAAGTTTGGGTGCAGTGACTCACACCAGTAATGCCTGTACTTCTCAAAGTCCTCAAAATTCTCCAACAGCCTCGAATTCCTGGGCTGACAGGATCCTCCCACCTCAGCCTCCCAAACAGCTAGGACCACAGGCATGCATGCACCACCGTGCCCAGCTAATTTTTTTTTTTAAACAGAGACACGGTCTCGCTATGTTGCCAGGCTGGTTTCAAACTACTGGCCTCAAGGGACCCTGCCACTTTGGCCTCCCCAAGAGCTGGGATTAGAGGCATGAGCCACCGTACCCAGCCCCTCACAATTTATACATTTTTTCCCCAGTAAGCCTGTGTTTACAATTACAATTTTTTAATCACGTTCTTGGTGAAGTAGAATTATTGTTTTCTTATTATACTTACCAACATTTAAAAACTGGCCGGGCGTGGTGGCTCACACCTGTAATTCCAGCACTTTGGGAGGCTGAGGCAGGTGGATCATGAGGTCAGGAGTTCAAGACCAGCCTGGCCAAGATGGTGAAACCCTGTCTCTACTAGAACTACAAAAATCAGCCAGGCGCAGTGGCAGGCGCCTGTAATCCCAGTTACTCAGGGGGCTGAAGCAGGAGAATCGCCTGAACCCGGGCAGCAGAGGTTGCAGTGAGCTGAGATCCCGCCACTACACTCCAGCCTGGACAACAGACTGAGACTCCGTCTCAAAAAAAAAAAGAAAAGAAAAGAAAATAGGACAACTTTGGTTTTCTGTCTTTTCCATTTCAGGGTTATGAGCATATGGGCAAGAGAAAGTCATTGATCAGCCAGCATGACAAACATCTACACCATTTAAAAAAAAAAAAATGCATCTGGCATGTATCTTACTTGACACTGCAAGGCAACACAAACTTGGTCCCGCATTCCCTGGAAGTTACAAAGGCCATGAGCCAGAGGCATGAAAAAGCCTCACCAGCCGGGCGCGGTGGCTCAAGCCTGTAATCCCAGCACTTTGGGAGGCCGAGACGGGCGGATCACGAGGTCGGGAGTGAACCACCTGGCAGACGGGCGGATCACGAGGTCGGGAGATCGAGACCATCCTGGCTAACACGGTGAAACCCCATCTCTACTAAAAAGTACAAAAAACTAGCCGGGCGAGGTGGCGGGCGCCTGTAGTCCCAGCTACTCGGGAGGCTGAGGCAGGAAAATGGCGTGAACCCGGGAGGCGGAGCTTGCAGTGAGCTGAGATCCGGCCACTGCACTCCAGCCTGGGCGACAGAGTGAGACTCCGTCTCAAAAAAAAAAAAAAAAAAAAGAAAAAGCCTCACCATTTGACAGCAGCCCAGTGAGCAAAGGAATGCTCTGCCTGTTGCAGAACAATTACTCAAGTAGAGTCCTTAGCAAGACTTGGTGTCTGAGGATCATCTGACTATACTCTATAAGAAGGCAGTAATTTCTTTTTTGAGATGGAGGAGTTTCGCTCCTGTTGCCCAGGTTGGAGTGCAATGGCATGATATCGGCTCACTGCAACTTCCACCTCCCAGGTTCAAGCGATTCTCCTGCCTCAGCCTCCCGAGTAGTTGGGATTACAGGCATGCACCACCACACCCAGCTAATTTTGTATTTTTAGTAGAGATGGGGTTTCTCCATGTTGGCCACGCTGGTCTCCAACTCCTGACCTCAGGTGATCCTCCCACTTTGGCCTCCCAAAGTGCTGTGATTACAGGTATGAGCCACCACGCCCGGCCAAAGGCAGTAATTCCTTGGCCAGTATACATACTATTTCCTGTCCCTCTCTTTTTTATTTTTTCTTGAAACAGAGTCTCACTCTGTTCCCCAGGCTGGAGTGCAGTGGCACGATCTCGGGTCACTATAACCTCTGCCTGCCGGATTCAAGTTGATTCTCCCACCTCAGCCTGCCGAATAGGTGGGATTACAGGCTTGCACAACCATACCTGGCTAATTTTTATAATTTTAGTAGAGACAGGGTTCCGCCATGTTGGCCAGGCTGGCTGGAACTCCTGACCTCAGGCAATCCGCCCGCCTTGGCCTCCCAAAGTGCTGGGATTACAGGGGTGAGCCACTGTGCCCAGCCTTCTGGGTGTCCTTCTCTTCCTCAGTGTTCCCGTCTTGATCTTACCTGAAGAACGGCGTTGGCATAGTCATTAGCCTTTATGTTATTCAGTCCCACGATACCCGGCAGGTAAGTGGTACCATCATATGCCCGGGACAATTTGGCTTGCTTGTCCAAGTTTGCAATTTGCTGCTTTGTGAAAGTGGGCTTCAACACATACTGCAAAGCAAAAGAAAATGCTAAGTTGTTTAAGAGCTGAGTTCACAAGAAATGTCTACAAACAACAGCAATTTCTACAAAAACAAAGAACACTTTGGCCATGAACATCCCACCACACACAGAAAAAGTCCCAATCAGTAGGTGTAAAGATTGAAGTAACACAGGGTAGATCCTCTCCCATGGCTAATCTACAAGGGGATCTCTGTGTCTAACCCAAAATCACTGAATCCCAGGTCTTTTCATAGACCTCAGATCTGGTCAACTCATGAAAACTGACTGCCAGAAACTATTAAGTTCCTAAAGGCAGTCTAAGTCTCAGATAGAACCTCCCGGGAGCAGCACATGTACCTAGCTTTGGAGCAGGAGAGTTTCCTCCATTCTGGGTGAGACTGAGGATCTCCACGAGTCCCTGGTACTGGAAGAGCAGGATCAGACTCTTCTCAGGCAGAGTTACCAGAGTCATTATGTCACAGACTGGACAGAGGTCATCCCAAACTCACTTTGAAACACTGAATTTAGCCCAGTTTCTCCCTCTATAAATACTGTCCATACTTTTTTTTTTAGACGGAGTTTCACTCTTGTTGCCCAGGCTGGAGTGCCATGGCACGATCTCGGTTCACTGCAACCTCCCACTCCCAGATTCAAGCAATTCTCCCACCTCAGCCTCCCAAGTAGCTGGGATTACAGGCATGTGTCACCATGCCAGGGTAATTTTGTATTTTTAGTAGAAATGGGGTCTCATCATGTTGGTCAGGCTGGTCTCAAACTCCTGACCTCAAATGACCCACCTGCCTCCACCTCCCAAAGTGCTCAGATTACAGGCGTGAGCCTCCGCACCCAGCCTGTCCATAACTATTTTAATCTCAACTACTAATAATAGGCTTATAAAATTTTTACAAGTAGAAAAAGCAATATTTCAAAGACTAAATACCACCATTTCCTTAAAAATAAACAGAACATGACCAACCTGGGCAACACAGTGAGACCCCATCTCTACAAAAAATTTTAAAAATTTATCTGGCCATGATGGTAATGCCTATAGTCCTAGCTACTTGGGAGGCTGAGGTGGGAGGCTGAGGTAGGAGGATCACTTGAACCCATGAGGTCGAGGCTGCAGTGAGCTGTGATGGTGCCACCACACTCCAGCCTGGGCGACAGAGCGAGACTCCGTCTAAAAAACAAAAACAAAACAGAGCACTTGGCACCATGAATATGCCCCAAGTGCTGAAAAGGAAAATAATAATCAAAAACCCAACACTAATCAAAGCCCATGCTCAGCACAATGAGTGTCTCTTGGTACAGGCCACAAACTAGAGCCCAGAGATGAGACATCTGTGGCTGGATGCTCTGGTCCCATCATATGTTAAAAGCAGCCAGAAGCTGGTGTGCAGCTTGGTAAATATTGTCCTACACCAGGACCAATTCATATCCCTGCTTCAAAGTGTGGAAGAATAATTTCACAAAAACACTTTAAACCCCATCAGAATACACCCATATTTCTTCAGTCCTAGCCCTCAATGTTACAAGTAGAAATGACAGTTAAGTTATAGACTACAGGCTGCAATTATGAATTCTGACCTTACTCAGTTTCCCCAGTTCTTCCCAAAAGGGAAAGCAGCCTCTCGATGCCCAAAAGGACTGAGATTCTTCCCTGTCCTCAGATGGGGCAGTCCCCTGGGAGCCCTGGGATGGCTCATTAAAGAATGGACCCCAAACCAACCCTCTTAGACACACACCGTGATATCCTCCAATGAGGAATCGATGATCTCATAGTTGTCTGGAAGGCAGTAAAACTTGAGGGTATGGAGGTTGAGGAAAACATGGTGGCTAAATTGGACACTGTGAATGTAGGCGTGAGACTTCAAACCTCGGCCTGTAGGGAAGGGTGAAAGGCTGTAATAGAAGGGCAGATACTAGAAGGCACAGATCAGGTTTGCTTTTCCTTTCATTATTTTCTACCGGAACATGTTAACATCCGCGAAAAACAAATATTATGTCATTCATAAAATGAATCCTCCACATGAAGTTCTCTCATAAAAAAATTAGCAAGAAAGACTAGCACATTAGTTACTTCTTTCTCTAGATGGCATAAGACATTGACTGGGGAAACAAAGTTCACTATTTTTTGCAAATATTTGTAAAATACATATGATATATAAAATATAGATAATCTCTATATATATAACTATATATTCACATACATAGTTTCCTATATATATGAAACTAGAAACATCTATGCATATGTGTGTGCATAAATACACATATACATAAATATATACATATCCTATGACAGTCCATCATCACTCAGTCCTGAATTTCCAAATGCCCATATTCAGGACAATGCTGTATCTATGTAACTTTTCTCATATTGCTACTCCTTTCTAGAATCTCTCTCCCCTAACCATTCAAACTCCTATGTCCTGCCAATTCAAGTCCCACCTCCACTCCTTCATGAACTCAACATCAACACTCCAGCTAACATTGATTTTTGCACATTTTAACTCCTACTGCACTTATTTTTACTCAGTGCCACGGTCCAGCAGTAATCTTCATGGTCTAACAGAACTCACTCGTTGTTTCACATGTCAACCTTGACTCCTTAGAAGCTCCTAATAAGAGCAAAGAATATAGTTTTTATCTCTTTTTTTGAGACAGGGTTGCCGGGCGCGGTGGCTCACGCCTGTAATCCCAGCACTTTGGGAGGCCGAGGCGGGCGGATCACAAGGTCAGGAGATCGAGACCACGGTGAAACCCCGTCTCTACTAAAAATACAAAAAATTAGCCGGGTGCGGTTGTGGGCGCCTGTAGTCCCAGCTACTTGGGAGGCTGAGGCAGGAGAATGGCGTGAACCCGGGAGGCGGAGCTTGCAGTGAGCCGAGATCGCGCCACTGCACTCCAGCCTGGGCGACAGAGCGAGACTCCGTCTCAAAAAAAAAAAAAAAAAAAAAAAGAGACAGGGTCTTGCTATGTTAGCCAGGTGGATCTTGAACTCTTGGCTTTAAACAATTCTCCTCCTCAGCCTTCCAAAATGCTAGGATTACACGTGTAAGCCACTGTGCCCAGTTGTTTTTACCTCATTTGAATCCTCCACTATACTATGTACATGGCATCTGCTTGGTGTGAATGAGTTGAAATGATACATTTTCAGAAAAAAAAAAAAAAAAAAGGTATAAAAAAAGTCCTTTGAGCTAAAGGATACTTCAAAAAAAAAAAATTTGTAGCCTGGGTAACATAATAAGGCCTTGTCTCCACAAAAAAAAATAAAATAAAATATTTAGCCAGATAGCGGGGTGCAATGGCTCACATCTATAATCCCAGCACTTTGGGAGGTACAGGCAGGCACACTGCTTGAGCTCAGGAGTTTCAAGACTAGCCTGGGCAACAGAGTACAATCCCATCTTTTAAAAAAAATGTGGCTGTGTGCCGTGGCTCACGCCTGTAATCCCAGCACTTTGGGAGGCCAAAAAGTGTGGATCACTTAAGGTCAGGAGTCCAAGACCAGCCTGGCCAATATGGTGAAACCCTGTCTCTACTAAAAAATACTAAAATTAGCCAGGTGTGGTGGTGCATGCCTGTAATCCCAGCTACTCGGGAGGCTGAGGCAGAAGAATCGCTTGAACTTGGGAGTCAGAGGCTGCAGTGAGCCAAGATCACGTCACTGCACTGCAGCCTGGGTGACACAGTGAGATTCCATCTCTTAAAAAAAAAAAAAAATTAGGCTGGGGGCAGTGGCTCATGCCTGTAATCCCAGCACTTTGGGAGGCCAAGAGGGGTGGATTACCTGAGGCCAGGAGTTCGAGACCAGCCTGGCCAACATGGTGAAACCCCATCTCTACTAAAAGTACAAAAATTAGCCAGTCATGGTGGTGGGTGCCTGTAATCTCAGCCACTCCAGAGGCTGAGGCAGGAAAATTGCTTGAACCCAGGAGGCGGAGGTTGCAGTGAGCCAACCTGGGCAACAAAGTGGGACTCTGTCTCAAAATGATTTTTAAAAATTAAAACTTAAAAAAATACATATATTAGAGATTCGAGAACCCAGAGTCTTTGAGATTGCAATCTTTCATATGACTAGCTCTTTCTCCCTTTCAGATATATCCAGGTTCTGATCAGTCAGAGAACCTCTTATTGGTTTTCTAAGAATATTTCAATTTCCTGGGAACAAATAGAAATTATTAGATATGATTCCTGAGAACAGTTTACTTTCTTTAAAAAAAAAAAAAAAAGTCCCTCTGGAGCAGAACTGCAGCTAGCTTGAAAAACTTAAGTTTATAATTCCTAACATTCATTTACCTTGAAAGTACTTGCCACACACCAGACAGGCGTAAGCATTGATGTGTGAGAGGGAGATAGAACACAGTTTCTCAAAGTCAAAGTCCAGCACACTCCTAAGGAAACAAAACAGAAAAAAATAAATAGGATGGACACATAGGAAGGCACTCAAATGAAGCAGTGTTGGCTCTATGACCCATGATACCAAACAACATCCTTCAGAAAACAGTTCCCAACCATATATACACCATGGGGGACACTGATGATTCCTCACCTCCACCCGCCATGCTCCAAAGCACTGTTGAGGTGTCTCCACCAGACACACAATACCTAGGAGTCTCTCTCTCATTACTGTTTGTAACCAGTTCAGGACTTTTCATTGCAGACACTTTCTCTAGAGGGAAAGCTACAAGTCAGACTAAGGTTAACAGTACCCCAACAGCATTCTGGAGGTGGAGAGCACATAAAAAGGGTGAAAAAATCCTTGCATAAAAGAAAAACATATCACTTAAGCCCAGGAGTTTGTGGCTACAGTGAGCTCTGATCCACCACTGCACTCCAGACTGGGATACAGAGTGGGATCCTCTCCTAAAAACAAATAATTAATTTTTTAAAAATGTATTTTTATCCACAGAAACAAATGAAAAGCCTGAAGAATTTTAAAATACCTACACAAATAGACCTATTTATTCAAGTGCGAAGTGAGTACTGGGCAGTAAGGAACAAAAACCTTACCTCCACTGAATCCACAAAGAGATTTAGTCTCAAATAGTAACTCTTAATTAACTGATAATGATCCCAAAGAGCTATGGTATCTAATTTATTAGAGGCCAATAGACAAAGTGACTATTGACAATTAAATTTAAAATACAGCTGTCCCTCAGTAGCCACACGACACTGGTTCTAGGACACCTTCAGATACCAAAATTCGGAATGTTCAAGCCCCTTACAGTTGGCCCTTTGTATCTTCAGGTTCCATATTCTGATACTGAGGCTAACTGTAATTCAATTAAATAAAATTTAAAATTCAGTTCTTCAATTGCAGGAGCCACTGAAGCCACAGGTAGCTCATGCCTACCATAATGAACAACCCTTATAACTTTTTTGGTGTTTTTTTTTTTGAGATAGGGTCTCACTTTGTCATCCAGGCTGAAGTGCAGTGGCACAATCTCAGCTCACTGCAGCCTCAACCTCCTAGGTTCAAGCAATCCTCCTGCTTCAGCCCCCCAAGAAGCTGGGACTACAGGAGTGCACCACCACACCTGGCTAATTTTTTGTGTTTTTTGTAGAGATGAAGTTTTGCCACGTTGCCCAGGATGCTCAAACTCCTGAGCTCAAGCAATCTGCCTGCCTCAGCCTCCCAAAGTGCTGGGATTACAGGCACGAGCCAGAGAACTCAGTCATAACTTTTTTTTGTTAAGTTTTTTTAAAAGATGGGTCTCGTTGGCCGGGCACGGTGGCTCACGCCTGTAAACCCAGCACTTTGGGAGGCCAAGGTGAGTGGATCACCTGAGATCAGGAGTTTAAGACCAGCCTGGCCAACATGAAGAAACTCCATCTTTTCTAAAAGAAAATACAAAAATTAGCTGGGCGTGGTGGCAGGCACCTGTAATCCCAGCTACTCAGGAAGCTGAGGCAGGAGAATCGCTTGACCCTGGAAGGCAAAGGTTGCAGTAAGCCAAGATCATGCCATTGCCCTCCAGCCTGGGGTACAAAAGTGAAACTCCGTCTCAAAAAAAAAAAAAAAAAAAAAGGTGGGTCTCATTATGTTGACCAGGCTGGTCTCAAATTTCTGGCCTCAAGTGATCCTCCTGCCTTGGCCTGCCAAAGGGCTGAGATTACAGGTGTGGGCCACCACACCCAGCTCTTACAAGAGTAATTATGTTATTGTAGAACATTCCCCTACAATATAGGTTGAAAAACATTCTACAGGCCACCTGGGAATCAGAAAAAAGAATGCTATGATGAGGTAAACTACTTCATCTTTCAAACAAATTTCTGTGTTTTTTTCTGCTGAATCCCAGGCACCCAAAAGAGTATCCAGTACATACTAGATACTCCACAAATATTTCAATGTGCTACTGTTATTTTAGGATACTATGCATCCTATTATCCCAACATACAAATGCAAAATAAGCTAAAAGCTCTTTAACAACATGTGTTCTAGCACTTACAATCAAAGAATAAAGAGTAACATGGCAAGAAGCACAACTCTCTAGACAGGTTTAAATTTGGGGGGAAGGGGGAGGGATAGCATTAGGAGATACACCTAATGTAAACGACCAGTTAATGGGTGCAGCACGCCAACATGGCATATGTATACATATGTAACAAACCTGCACACTGTGCACATGTACCCCAGAACTTAAAAGTATAATAAAAAATAAATAAATAAATAAATAAATAAGCTAAAAAAAAAAAGAAGTAAAATTTGGGAAAGTGTTGTTCAATGTACAGTCAAAAAACTTTCTATATAGATTCCATTGTTCTTGTGCTATCCTCAGCATCTCTGTCCTACTGACCTATTAATGGTGTCCAGGTATGGGCAGTGGCGGCTCCTCCGGTCCTCAGAATCCACTCGGCCATTCTTTGCTGAAAGGAAAATCATCACAGGCTTTGAAAATGGGAAACCTATACTCAGTGCCAACTAGCAGTACGAAAAGAAACAGAAATGGGAAAAACTAATCAAGATGAGTTCCTATTGTTTGGGTGGCAACATCGAAAAACAAGTCCACTAGCCAGGCGTCGTGGCTCACACCTATAATCCCAGCACTTTGGGAAGCCAAGATGGGCGGATCACCTGAGGTCAGGAGTTTGAGACTAGCCTGGCCAACATGGTGAAACCCCATCTCTACTAAAAATACAAAAATCAGCCAGGCATGGTGGTGGGCGCCTGTAATCCCAGCTACTTGGGGGGTTGAGGCAGGAGAATCGCTTGAACCTGGGAGAAGGAGGTTGCAGGGGGCCGAGATCACGCCACTGCACTCCAGCCTGGGGACGAGCAAAACTCTGTCTCAAAAAAAAAGAAACGAAAAAAGTCCACTAATAGAACAAGCCACAAACTAGGAGAATACATTTGGTATACATAAAATCAACACAAGATCTGTTTGCATTTTACATAAAGAAATCCCATAAAGCATGAAAAATATGAAATGTCACAAGCACTAAAATAAACTACTTGTAATACAAATGTACTACTATATAGTTGTGTATTTGTTTTGTTTTGTTTTGTTTTTTGAGACAGCGTCTCACTCTGTCACCCAGGCTAGAGTGCAATGGCGCGATCTCGGCTCACGGCAACCTCCACCTCCCAGATTCAAGCAATTCTCCTGCCTCAGCCTCCCGAGTAGCTGGGACTACAGGTGCATGCCACCACATCCAGCTAATTTTCATGCTTTTAGAAGAGAGGGGGTTTCAACATGTTGGCCAGGCTGGTCTCAAACTCCTGACCTCGTGATCCACCTGCCTCAGCCTCCCAAAGTGCTGGGATTACAGGTGTGAGCCACCGAGCCCGGTCACAAATGTACTACATAGTTTAAAGAGTGGCTGGGGTGGGTGGCTCATGCCTGTAATCCCAGCACTCTGGGAGGCAGATGCAGGCAGCTCACCTGAGGTCAGGAGTTCGAGGCCAGCCTGACTAATATAATGAAACTCCGTTTCTACTAAAAATACAAAAATTAGCCAGGTGTGGTGGCATGCGCCTGTAATCCCAGTTGCTTGGGAGGCTGAGACAGGAGAATCGCTTGAACCCGGGAGGCGGAGGTTGCAGTGAGCTGAAATCGTGCCATTGCACTCCAGCCTGGACAACAAGAGTGAAACTGTCTCAAAAAAAAAAAGAAGAATGTACATGTGTATCTATAAATCTACCACTTGTCAAAAACTTAAGGGGGTCTCAGATCTTACCCTACTTGCAAGCTAACAAGTTAGCCTGTCACAGTTTTACGAATGCTGATGGAAAGCAAGTCACTACCTGGCCTGAAATGAAGGGCAATTTATTACAGCAATGACAGTAGCCAGAATATAGCCTTGATATCAGTTTCCCAAGTGAATGTCTACAAGGCAAAGTGAGGAGAACCCATGCACACAGTGAGTTGCCTTACAGGAGAGTAACCCTGAGCTTAGAGAATCTGAACCATTAACCATTTTTTTAAAAGAGGTCTCACTCTGTTGCCTATCCTAGTCTTGAACTCCACCTCATCCTATAGAGTAGCTGCGATTACAAGTGTGAGCCACCACACCCTGCTCCAAATCTTTTATAATGGATTGTGCCCTTGTCTCCTCCTTGTTTTGTAGGGAGACACCACTGCTATCTTCCAAGGCTGCCCACTACACGAACATCCTTAAGGAGAGTCTAGGAGCAAAGGCAGTCAGGCAATGATCGCAGTATGTGCACAAACTCAAGAGACTAATGGAGAATTGTCTCCAGACTTTATTCAGCTTAAAAAGCGCTACATAATTCATATTTTAGTGCAGGTGCCTATTGCTCAGGCATTCTGAATATCTTGATTACAGAAATTACAAGACCTTAGAGGTTTTGTAAAAACTGAAGGAAAGCCGTGCACAGTGGCTCACGCCTGTAATCCCAGCACTTTGGGAGGCCGAGGCGAGTGGAAAACTTGAGCCCAGGAGTTCGAGACCAGCCTAGGCAACATAACAAGACTTGCTTCTATTTTAAAACGAAAAAAAAAAAATTCTTTTTTAAAATGGAAGGAAGTAACACTTGTAAAATCAGCACTGAGCCCCCACATCAGGCATTCGATGAAGGGAAACTGCTATTGTTATGACTGTTATAGTTAGAAATACCATACGGTTGGCCGGGCACGGTGGCTCACGCCTGTAATCCCAGTACTTTGGGAGGCCGAGGCGGGAGGATCACGAGGTCAGGAGATCAAGACCATCCTGGCTAACACGGTGAAACCCCTTCTCTACTAAAAATAGAAAAAATTGGCCAGGCGTGGTGTCGGGCGCCTGTAATCCCAGCTATTTGGGAGGCTGAGGTAGCATAATCGTTCGAACCCGGGAGGCAGAGGTTGCAGGAGCCGAGATCGCGCCACTGCACTCCATCCTGGGTGACACAATGAGACTCCACCTCAAAAAAAAAAAAAAAAGAAAAATAGAAAAATAAATAATATACGGTTGAGATGAATACTGTCTTCTTCAGAACAAGTCGAACAGCAGAACCATAAAGTCTGGTTCCCTCCTCTTCTCCCACCCAAACCCCACCCCTGCCCCGCCAACCCCACCCCTCCCCCGCCAAACGCGGCGCAGGGACCTGGCGGAAGATTAGAGAGACAAGAAAAAAGAACGCGAAAAAAAGAGGCTCTCGCGCCTAGCCCGGCCCGGCCCCGCGCACCTCGCACCTCCCGCTCAGGCTCCGAGTCCTCATCGACCTCGCGCTCCCGCTTCACCCGCACAAACGGGACAACAGAAGCCTGGGCCTCGCGCACGCTCGCCGGCTCGACCTCTCGCTTCACGCGCACAGGGCTGCCCCGGGAGCTTGCCGCCTCAGGCTCCCGCTCCCGATCTCGCTCCCGCTTGACGCGACCGGAGCTGCCCCGCGACTCGGACTCTCGCTTCCCGCGGGTGGAACCGCGAGACTCCCGCTTAGACCTGCCGGACATAGCCACTATCGGCAGAGTCTTCCAGCGCAGGCGCCAGGCACGCTCGAGCGCGCGGCACACGGCCAATCAGGAGAGGGGCTGGTAGGGAGCACCGAACGCTCTACGAGTCGCCACTGGGGACAAATCACGCTGCAGGAAATTTGTGGGCGGTGCTGTTCCTGTAGCGGTTTCCCCGCCCCTGAGAACCTTCTGTGGGCCTACCGTCGTTTACAGTTTACTGACACAGGAACCTTTACTGGCGACAGTTTTCTGGATAAAAGTTGTCAGGCCGGGCGCGGTGGCTCACGCCTGTAATCCCAGCACTTTGGGAGGCCGAGGCGGGTGGATCACCTGAGGTCGGGAGTTCAAGACCAGCATGACCAACATGGAGAAACAACATCTCTACTAAAAATACAGAATTAGCCAGACGTTGTGGCGCATGCCTGTAATCCCAGCTACTTGGGAGGCTGAGGCAGGAGAATCGCTTGAACCCGGGAGGCGGAGGCGAAGGTTGCAGTGAGCCAAGATCGCGCCATTGCACTCCAGCCTAGGCAACAAGAGCGAAACTCCGTCTCAAAATGAAATAATAAAATAAAAGAAAAAGAAGCTGTCATTCGGCCCCAGATTTGTGCCTCGAAACCACCATCGCGAGGTCGTTTCCCACAGTCTCCGCGGCTTGGAGGCTGACAATCCTGCGCAGGAAAACTAGGCAACATTCCCAAATCATCCCCTTGACGGCCCTAATTCTACTGTTAGAGGGTTCTTGGTACCATGAAAACGCAAATGCCCGGTAGGAGCGGATTTACCATGAAGCTAATAAAGCTCTAACCTCAGGACCTGCCTTGAACTTGTTTGCTTGTTTGAACTGTTCCATTGAGGTATAATTGACATACAACAAACTACATGTTTAAAGTGTGGAATTTAGGCCAGGCGCTGTGGCTCACGCCTGTAATTCCAGCACTTTGGGAGGCAGAGGCGGGCGGATCACCTGAGTCAGGATTCGAGACCAGCCTGGTCAACATGGCGAAACCCCGTCTCTACTAAAAATACAGAAATTAGCTGCGGTGGCACGAGCCTGTTATCCCAGCTACTCAGGAGGCTGAGGCAGGAGAATCGCTTGAACCCGGGAGGTGGAGGTTGCAGTGAGCCGAGATCGCGCCATTGCACTCCAGCCCGGGAAACAAGAGTGAAACTCCGTCTTAGAATACAATACAACACAACACAACACAGCAATTTACTGAATTCTGACTTGAGGTATATGTCAGAGGTGTTCGAACCAGACCAACTCCACTGAAGGTTAGGAAAATGAGGCTGGGACTTGACAGGCTGCATTCCTAGGAAGTTAGATATTCCTAGCCTTTAGATGTCTCCGGTTAAGGGAACAGAGAGATAATGTTTACTAAACAGATCCAGACTTGGGAGTGTCCTAATATCCTAATAACTGGAGAATACAGGCATTCCTAATTTTGCTTTAAAGATAATATTGCTTCTTGCAAAATATAGTAATTAATAAAATTAATCATTTATCACAAACCCTTGTAGCAGAGCACATCTCCCCATAATCTTTTTATCCTATATGTAAACAAGCATTGTAGCCAGGATGGACGCGTTCCTCCTCTTTCAGGAACGCCCTACTCTATGGGGTAGCTGTACTTTCATTACTTTATTTTGTGTGTGTTTTTTTTTTGGTTTTTTTTTTTTTTTTTTTTTGAGACGGAGTCTCGCTCTGTCACCCAGGCTGGAGTGCAGTGGCGGGATCTCAGCTCACTGCAAGCTCCGCCTCCCGGATTTACGCCATTCTCCTGCCTCAGCCTCCCGAGTAGCTGGGACTACAGGCGCCCACCACCTCGCCCGGCTAGTTTTTTTTTTGTATTTTTTAGTAGAGACGGGGTTTCACCGTATTAGCCAGGATGGTCTCGATCTCCTGACCTCATGATCCGCCCGTCTCGGCCTCCCAAAGTGCTGGGATTACAGGCTTGAGCCACCGCGCCCGGCCTTGGCTACTTTACTTTCTTAATAAACTTGCTTTTACTTTGCACTGCGGATTCACCCTGAATTATTTCTTGCACGAGATCCAAGAACCCTCCGTTAGGGTCTGAATCCGGATCCTTTCCTGTAATATATACACCCATGAAGCCATCACCACAATCAAGAGAAGAGATCTGGGCCCAGCATGGTGGCTCACACCTATAATCCCAGCACTTTGGGAGGCCTGAGGCAGGAGGATCACTTGAGGTCAGGAGTTCAAGACTAGCCTTGGCAACATAGAGAGACCACATCTCCACAAAAAAAATTTAAAAATTAGCTGGGCATGGTGGTGTGCTATTCAGGAGGCTGAGGCAGGAGGATTATTTGGGCTTGAGAGGAGTAGTGATTGCGCACTACAATCCAACCTATGCGACAGAGATCCTGCCTCAAAAAAAAAAAAAAATTTTTTTTAAAGAATCTACCCAGCCCCAAAGATAACCTCTTCCTCCCAGAGAACCCCCACAAAAATCAACTGATCTCTCAGTCACTATAGATTAGTTTGCACTTCTTAGAGTCTTATATAAATGGAATCATACAGAGTCCCTGGCCTCTTTCACTGGGCATATTTACTTTATGATCCATCTATGTTGGTGAGCTACAGAGCTTCCCTTGGATTGCTCAGTAACACTCCATCATGTGGCTGGACCACCATTGGTCCCTGTTTTTTGGTGTGTGTGTGTGTGTGTGTGTGTCTGTGTGTGTGTCTGTGTGTCTGTGTGTTTGAGATGGAGGGTGGACTGCAGTGGCTCGATCTCAGCTCACTGCAACCTCCGCCTCCCAGGTTTAAGCGATTCTCCTGCCTCAGCCTCCCAAGTAGTTGGGATTACAGGCGCTGGCCATCAAGCCCAGCGAATTTTTTGTATTTTTAGTAGAGACGGGGTTTCGTCATGTTGGCCAAGCTAGTCTCAAACTCCTGACCTCGTGATCCGACCGCCTGGGCCTCTGAAAGTGCTGGGATTACAGGTGTGAGCCACCGCACCCGGCTCTTTCTTTCTTTCTTTTTAAATGTATTTTTTTTCTCGTAGAGAGGATGTCTCACTGTATTGCCCAGGCTGGTCTCAAATTTCTGGCTCCAGCGATACTCCCACTTTGGCATCCCAAAGTTTTGGAATTACAGGCATGAGCCACCACACCCAGCCGTTTGTCCCTGTCCTAATCATGAATTCCTGATTTTGACTTTTGTAAAAGGACTTGAGAATTTTACACGCTGTGACATGAACCCAGTGGTCAGAAAAAAATAGAAAAAAAAAAAAAGGGCTGGGCGCAGTGGCTCATGCCTGCAATTCCAACACTTTGGGAGGCCGAGGCAGGCGGATCACCTGAGGTCCGGAGTTCCAGACCAGCCTGGCCAACATGGTGAAACCTCATCTCTACTAAAAATACAAAAATTAGCCGGGCCTGGAGGCACGTGCTACTCCGGAGGCTGAGGCAGGAGAATCGCTTGAATCCGGGAGGCGGAGGTTGCAGTGGGCTGAGATCGCGCCAATGCACTCCAGCCTGAGCAACAGAGTGAAGACTCCTTCTCAAAAAAAAAAAGAAAAAGAAAAAGAAGTAAACAAGAAAATAATACACCCGTAGGTCCCTCAAAAACCCTGGGTCATCCCGCGGGGACAGTTAAGCCGTTGGCGCCGAGGGTACGAGGCAAGCCAGGCCAGGAGAGCCTTCGCGGGGCCTGCGGCCTGGGCGCCGCTGTGTGCCCTGCCTGAGCATTTCAAGGCCTCACAATCTATTTGCGGTAGGTGCTCTAGGTGTTCCCATTTACTAATGAGGAAACTGAGGCGTAGTAGGGTTACATGGTAAGCCAAAGTCACGCAGATGGTGATGGATTGCACAGTATCCTATTACCAGAAAGAAAGACGGGAAGGCACCGCCGTAAGCATCGAGTTGTGTTAATAGATGATTTGCATTTTGCTAAATGTTCTGCTATCAGCTGTAAGCTGAAGTCCTTGCTTCCTATTGATGTGTTACGAAAAAACAAAAACGAAGCAAAACCAAAAGCCCTCTAGAAGTTCGGGCGGTGGAAGTCAAGCATACTCTACTCCACTCGACCCGACAAGACCCGAAAACTCCGCGCGCCGCATCGCTTGGCCAGGCAGGGCCTCCCAGACCGGAAGTCAGGATGCGGGGCCGGAAGCTGAGCGAGGGGCGGCGCGGGCCTGTGTGGGCGGGTGGCTGTAGTTGGGGCGGTCGAGGCGGCGGCGACTCTGCGCCCCCCGGCTCCGGATGGAGGCGGGGCCGCATCCCCGGCCGGGGCACTGCTGCAAGCCTGGCGGGCGGCTGGACATGAACCACGGCTTCGTGCACCATATCCGACGGAACCAGATCGCTCGGTACCGCCCCGCCCTGCGCTGTCGCCGCCACTCCTGGCCTGGCCTGGCCTGGCCCGACAGTCCCTGACTCCCGCTCGGCTCCCCGCAGGGACGACTATGACAAGAAGGTGAAGCAGGCAGCCAAGGAGAAGGTGAGGAGGCGGCACACGCCCGCGCCGACGCGGCCCCGCAAGCCAGACCTGCAGGTGTACCTGCCGCGACACCGAGGTGAGGCCGCCCGCCCCGCCTGTCTCCAGCCCGCGCGCTCTTCCTGCAACGCACTCCCCTTCTCTGTAGGGAAAAACCACTTCTTACTCCTAAGGTTCAGTTCACCTCGTCTCTTCCCGGAACCTCCACCTCAACGCTCCCAAATCTCTGCTGAATGTTTCTCCCCAAAAACTGGGAAGACTCACAAGACCCCAGTTAAGCATCGCTGTCACAGAGTATCCGGGAGCCAGCAAGACGTTTATCTGCCGGTTTGCCCCTTCGTGCTGTATTTTAGTAAGGTGCTCCGCTACCTAGCAAAGAGAAAGTCTGGCACAGCGATGAGCGACCAGCACGTAATTGTGGAATGAACCCAGTAAATGGCCTTTCCCCAGCTTCCCTGCTACCTAGAGATCACACTGGTTAACATATGACACTCAATTTTTACTAAGCATTATTACTTCTTTTTTTAAGTTTTTATTTTATTTTTGAGACTAGGTCTCTGTCGCCCAGGCTGGAGTGCAATGGTGCGATCTCGGCTCACTGCAGCCTTAGCCTCCCGAGTACCTGGGACCCCAGGCCTGTGCCACCACACCCAGTTAACTTTGGTATTTTTTGTAGAGAAGGGGTTTCCCTCACGTTGCCCAGGCTGATCTCGAACTCCTGAGCTCAGATGACCTGCCTGCATCGGCCTCCCAAAGTGGTGGGATTACAGGTGTGTGCCACCACACCCTACCTTTGTTAGGCATTATTTAAAGTGCTTTCAGATCTTACGTATATTAATTCATTGAGTCTGTTGTTTGTTTTTTTTTCTTTGAGACGGAGTCTCACTCTGTCGCCCAGGCTGGAGTGCGGTGGTGCGATCTCCACTCACTGCAAGCTCTGCTTCCCGGGTTCACGCCATTCTCCTGCCTCAGCCTCCCGTGTAGCTGGGACTACAGGCGCCCACCACTGCGCCCGGCTAATTTTTGTATTTTTAGTAGAGACAGGGTTTCACCGTGTTAGTCAGGATGGTCTCGATCTCCTGACCTCGTGATCTGCCAGTCTCGGCCTCCCAAAGTGCTGGGATTACACATGAGCCACCGCGCCCGGCCAATTCATTGAGTCTTTATACAACCTCATAAAAACACTTATATCTGTTTCACAGTCAGGAAATAGGCACAGAGAGGTTAAACAACTTGCCCAAGATCTCAGCTAGTAAATGGCAAAGCCTAGATTTGAACCCAGGCAGAGCTCTATCCACCCTTCTGCTTTCCAGTACTTTTTGCTAGACAAATGTGCATTGTGTACCTACTGTGTGACAGGACTGTGCTGGCCTCAGGGCAGGGATGCAAAGGTAAATAAGTTCTTGACTGGCAGCACACCAAACACTTACATTGGGCCGGGCACGGTGGTTCATGCCTGTAATCCTAGCAGTTTGGGATGCCGAGGTGGGCGGATCCCTTGAGGCCAGGAGTTTGAAATTAGCCTGGACAACATGGTGAAACCCCATCTCTACTAAAAATACAAACATTGGCCAGGCATGGTGGCAGGCAGCTGTAATCCCAGCTACTCAGGAGGCTGAGGAAGAAGAATCGCTTGAACCTAGGAAGCAGAGGTTGCAGTGAGCCGCGATTTAGCCACTGTACTCCAGCCTGGGCGACAGGGCAAGACTCATCTCAAAAAAAAAAACCCACTTACACTAGACCCATAAGAAGATTGGGGCAGCTGGGCGCAGTGGCGCATGCCTGTAATCCCAGCACTTTGGGAGGCCAAGGTGGGCGGATCACCTGAGGTCAGGAGTTCCAGACCAGCCTGGCCAACATGGTGAAACCCCATCTCTACTAAAAATACAAAAATTAGCTGGACGTGGCAGCACTTGCCTGTAACCCTAGCCACTGGGGAGGCTGAGTCAAGAGAAGCGCTTGAACCCCGGAGCGGAGATTGCAGTGGGCCAGGATCGCACCACTGCACTCTAGCCTGGGTGACAGAGTGAGACTTCATCTCAAAAAAAGAAGACTGGGGCTTTCTTAACTGTATATTTTCCTGCAGCATCTCTATGGGCAGGGCCTTCAGCAGCATCCCCCTCTTCTTTCTTACTGTGGTTCATCCTTCCAGATGTCTCTGCCCACCCACTCAACCCAGACTATGAGGAGTCCGGTGAAAGCAGCAGTAGTGGAGGCTCTGAGCTGGAGCCTTCTGGCCATCAGCTCTTCTGCTTAGAATACGAGGCAGACAGTGGAGAGGTCACATCAGTTATCGTGTATCAGGTACGCCTGGTGGAAGCAGCTGCAGCCTGAAGGTCCTGGGCCATGGTAGTAATCACTGTCAGACCCTGAGCGCTGTTTTCCTCAGGACCCCCAGTGGGAAGTGTCTGCTCCATGTGTGAGCCTAGGCCTGGCGGGCAGTGCTTTTGAACACAACTCACTCCCATCTCACAGTGATTCTCAGTAGGGGAACACGGAGGGCTCTTGGCCCCCAGTGGAGAGTCACTATTACAGGGGACACCTGGGAAATGACAGGTGCTGGCAAAAAGCCTTGAGCTAAACGGAGTTCTGTGAGAGTGTTTAGGGACAGGGCAGGTCACCTTTCTGGAAGAAGCCAGGCCCTGAGCCTCCTGACTCTTCCTCCATGTAGGGCGATGACCCAGGAAAGGTGAGTGAGGAGGTGTCGGCACACACGCCTCTGGATCCACCCATGCGAGAAGCCCTCAAGTTGCGTATCCAGGAGGAGATTGCAAAGCGCCAGAGCCGACACTGACCATGCTGAAGGCGTTCTCTCCAGGCTGGATTCACTGCACTCGGAAGAATTCTGTCCAGGAAATTTAGTGTGGGGGTACCAGGACCAGTTTGTCTGATCTTGAGACCCCCAGAGCTGCTGCATCCATAGGGTGTTGCAGGACTATACCTGGCCTGCCTTGCAGTCATTCTTTCTTGTATGTTGACCCATTTACCCAGCCTGATATTCTGGAATTTTTTTTTTTTTTTTTTTGAGAATTTTGTGTGGCTAATGTGGTGTTCTAGAAGCAGAGACTCCAGGGAGAACCAGAATTTATGAAGCCTTGTGCTAACATGGTGCTTTCTCACCGAGGTCATATGCCTGGCTGCTGCTGTTCCACTCAGCTCCATAAACCATGTTTGTTATTTTATGGTTCTTCTGTGCTTTTGCTCATTTCCACCCATGTACTCATAGACCTTTTTTCAGCCCTTTTTCTTTGTTCCTTTCCCTCATCTTTTTGCCTCAGGTAGAATCCATCAGTTCTCCCCCTCCAACGTGACTGTGTACCTCCAGCTGCTCAGGACTTTGGAGGTGGGGAGGTCTAGGGATCTATCCTTCTAAAAAACTCTGCAAGTAATTCTGATACCAATAAAGTGGGAGACCTCCATTTTTGAGGCCTATTTGCAAGCATGTCTCCCTCCCTTTCCATGGCTTTTTCGTTTCTCGCATGTTCCACTGCTTTGCACTGTCTAGATAGCAAACCCAGGAAGATGTTGGTGCTAAACTGCAAAGATTTCTTACAGCAAAACCTGCCTTGGCCAGGGCTACAGAATTCCAACTTTCAGCTTCATTCCTAGCTGTGAACAGACTGTCCTCTGCTCAGACTAAAAGGGAATTATCAAAACAAGTGGGAACTCACTCTCAAGTTGTGACTTAACAGTTCTGAACATACCTACAAAGGGAAAGTCAATATTAGCAATAATTGCCTGATTGACAACACGCCAGAGGGAATGAAATGAGACCTTCTTTCCTACCTCCCAGGAGTATATAACTCAGATCCTTAGCATAAAGATCCCCAGGAATACCACTGCTCTCATCCGGTGAACATTTTTTCTAATGCAGGGTTAGGCTTACGTCTGAATTCCACAAGACATCCTCCCTCTCCAGTACGGAAGTTCCAAGGCACTTGTTTTCCAGCATATCAGCCTAACCTCAGTGCCCTGAAATGTGGCTTTAAGCCTTTGAGAACTGAGATTTCCTGAAACCATAGCCCCTTGCTCCAGGGGTTTCTCCACATCCGGGTGTTAAGACACCTGATGGCACTGTTGGTTTGTTCCCTATACCCCAGAAAATCTATCCTGCAAGGTAGCTACTTCAATCATGTCATTAAAATGTGGCAAGTCACAGCTCGCAATGCCAAAGGAATGCTGGGGCAGTAAGTCAGGTGGATAAGTGAGAAGGGCCTGGTAGTGAAAGCAGCCAGGGACCAGAATGCTCCAGACCTACAGAACTGGTCAAGGTTAAGTGCCTTAAACTTGCCAATCCTGGGCTCAGTTCTCCTTTTAAAGCAGAAAGGCTTTTTCCTCTACTTAGGCAACTGGGCTAGAAGTGCCTTTTGACTTCTAATGTTAACTACCCTCCAAAGTCTCCTGGGTCAAGGAGGCTCTCCCAAACTCCACCCTGTTCTTCCTGGTCAGAGAACCAGTCAGTCATTCTAGTCTTCCAGTCCTTAAACTGATCTGATGACTTAGAACATAGGATTTCACTGGAAGTCTTTGGCTTTTTAGTCTGGAAATACTTTTGAGGTCTGTCTTCTCAGCTGGATCACCTGTTTCCTGGTTTTATTACACAATTCAGAAGGCTAGAAGAGCAGTTTGGGGATTTGGCACCTGAAAATTTAGACCCCATTCTTGTTAAGTAAAGGAAGAGGTAGGGAGGCCGAGGTGGGCGGATCATGAAATCAGGAGATCCAGACCATCCTGGCTAACACAGAGAAACCCTGTCTCTACTAAAAGTACAAAAAATTAGCCAGGCATGGTGACATGTGCCTATAGTTCATCCCAGCTACTCGGGAGGCCGAGGCAAGAGAATCGCCTGAACCTGGAAGGCGGAGGTTGCAGTGAGCCGAGATCACACCACTGCGCTTCAGCCTGGGCAGCAAAGCGAGACTCCGTCTCAAAAAAAAAAAAAAAAAAGGAAGAGGTAAAAGGCAAGGCAGCATTTAATAAATACCTATTGTATCCTTTTAAGTGTTTGTTGTGGTAATCCTCACAAAGACCCCTCTCACGTAGGGGACTGATGGAAATTCCTTGCTATTAAACTTTTTTTCTTGAGGAATTTTGCTTATCAAGTGCATATACACTATTAATATTTTCCACCCAAGAGAGCACTGTAAGCTAATTTATGCAGTGTGACTGTATTAAGCACTAAGCTTCCTTCAGAGCTGGCCTATCGGAGATGCTACTGCCCTTTCTCCAGGTGTGTCTGAAATGCCTGCCCAAGGATGGCCCTTAGCCAGTTAACAGCCTTATAGCCCATCCTCATTGCTTACTGCCACCCCTCAGCTGGAGTCCAAGGCAGTACTATCCAGCTTATTCACCAGACCTGCCTCCAGATATCTACTTCTTTCAAAAATTAGTGTTTCCCATGAAGGAACAAGTTCCAGAACATTTCCCACAGATGTCCCAAAGAACAGTGTCCGATGAGACTAAGTGGAACTTCCCAGCAGGCTGCTTTAGAATCCGCTCCTTTGACTAGATACAATGTAATTGGCTGTCTTTAAAAAAAAAAAAAAACCACACAATCTGATAGGCGTATCTCATGCCCATTCAATATGGAATGTTCTTCACTCACTGAATTTAAGCCTGTATTTTAGGTTTTGTGGTTCCTGGGCCACAATGTGTGATGTCACTGATAGAAGGAAGCTGGGTTTGCAAGGGTTTTGGGCTGTGCAAGAGTAAACACTAGAGCTTGAGTTGTATCCAGCTGGCAAGCACGGAAGTCTTTGAAGAATGTAATGTAAGACGGGAAAAGAATGTAAAGCTTTTTGTACCAAATGAGAGTTGGAGCCCAGCCAACAAATGCTTTTCCCTGTGTAAAAGTCTCTGGAAGGGACATTCCATCTCCATGATGCACTCTGAGGGTCACTGTCAACTAGAGATTGGCCCCATCCAGGTGAGAGGAACTTTGGGATGGGGAGTATCCAGTCTGCTGTGCATTTGACAGGATCTCTGAATGGCTAGGTAATGGATCCCCAGCAGGCTCACAAATTTAAATGAAGCCTTTGTGTGCACAAAGAGGAATAAGTACAGATTACTTTCCTACCGCTAGATTTTTGGGGAGAGTCACCATGGAATGTTGACAATTAAAATATTTTAAGCTCCCTTGCTGAATTCCTGTCCTGTCCATGAGGAATCAGATGGTCATACAGCCATAGGGACCCACCCGCAATTTCCCTAGGAGTTGGAGTATGCTAGAATTGAAGACCTTCTGAGTAAAGGGCTTGTCTGCCTTCTCAGAGCCAGGAGAATTTGCACTGGTTGTGTTAAATGTATAAAAAGCTATATGTTCACCAGTTTACTCATTTCCAATGTGTAGATGAATAAAATGTAGTGCAAATTATTTGAAAATCCCAGAAGGAAGGTACTTTTCAAATGCAGTATTTTTTTCAACAAATAAACTTACTATTTTTACAGCACTGTTTTTGCCAAGAGTTGTGAAATCACTTGTGTACACAGGGAAGTGGAGGTTAAATACCTGCCCTAAAGTCATTCCACCACCAAGTCAGCACTGGAAATCTCATCTCTTGCTTTGCCACACTATTTTAAGAGCTGTCCCTGTTGGAACATAACAACTAGACAGACTCATGTAGCATTAGAGTTGGAAGGCCTTTTTAAAGACATCTGGTCCTACTTCGTACATGATACACAATTCCCCCTACCAACTACCTATGAAGAGCCCTTCTGTCATACGGAGCTCTATCCTGGGATAATTCTATTTTAGGAACTATTAGATTGTCATATTAAGCCAAAAGCTGCCTCATGTCCCGGATCTGGAGTACTATGCCTTGCCCCCACATCATGTTAGAACTTGAATAGTCCTCTCAGGACTTCATCTTGATTGGATAGGGACTCAAACCCAGCTCAAGAAGATACAGTGTTAAGAATTGCAAAGCTTCCAATTAGGGTTCACAGCCCCATTGGGCAGATAAGGTGCCTAGTCAATGGGAATGCAGTTGGGCAGGAAGATGGTTCCTGTCAATTAGCAAGGAAGCACACCTTGGTCCTGAGGCACAAAGCATAGCCAGCGGCAGGTGGCCTGGATTTTATCCCCCACTGGTTCATTCAGCCAGGTGTGCTTGTACAGTGATCACTACACAGCCATACTTCTTAGCCCTGTTTTAACTACTTGTCCTGATGTGATTAAGGAAAGGGCTCTCCTGCTGGGCACGGTTGTTCACATCTGTAATCCCAGCACTTTGAGAGGCCAAGCGAGCAGATCACCTGAGGTCAGGAGTTCGAGACCAGCCTGGCCAACATGGTGAAACCCCGTCTCTACTAAAAATACAAAACTATTAGCCAGGCGTGGTGGCAGGCACCTGTAATCCCAGCTACTCTGGAGGCTGAGGCACAGGACTCACTTGAACCCAGGAGGCAGAGGTAGCAGTGGGCAGAGGTAGCAGTGAGCCGAGATTGCGCCATTGCATTCCAGCCTGGGCAACAAGTGAAACTCCGTCTCAAAAGAAAAAGGGCTCTCCAACAGGTTTTCTGCTTTCATTTCTACTTTCCACTGGGTCCAAGAAGGTTTATCCCTCTTCAAGTCATTGTGCGGTTTATTCTGCTCTACCTTTCTAAAGCACAGGGTCCTGTTGTTGCGCATAGCTTTTGCCTCATCAGTGTTGCCAAACTTCAGCTCCCCACACCTGGCAGCCTGAGCCCGTGCACCATTCAGGTGATGATCTGCCCAAGTGTCATCTCACAAGGGGGGGGGGTGAAGGGCTCCAACAGATGCTGGGACCGCTTTCGAGACAGAATGCCAGGTACAATTCTGATATGTGAAAGTATTTCCACCCTTGCAATAATTTAAGAAACATCCAGGAATGCACTCATAGCCTGTAAGTTTTTGGTGAAGCTGGTCAGTAATTTTTCCCACACTATCCTGTTTCCTTTTCCCAGAATCCTCCGGGTCTCTCACCTTCCCCTCTTTGCTTACCAACACTGGCCATGTTAATCCTTACCTACTCTACACTGACACCTACATGTGTGGATGTCCTCTGGTCTCTGCCGCCTTATTTCAAATACGTGTTGATCAGTCGGGAAACACGTCTTGGGCACTGATTTCTGGCTAGTACGCTGTGTACTTGCACGCAGGAAAGCAAAAAGTATCTAATGAAAGCAGCCCTCCTCCGGAGTTTGCTGAGCCACAGGAACCATAAGCCAAATCCCAGGCGCTTGGATTTCTTTAGAAACAGCCAAGGCTTTGTGTCTGCTTCTCTGGACCCGCCGCAGCCCTGGCTAGAGGCAGGCATGGGGCGCCGAGTTGAGAAAGCTTCCTAGAGGACTCACCGTTGGCCGGTGCAGGCTGCAAACTATGCGCAGCGGCGGAGAGACGCTCCTCCAGCCATGTGCACGGCGACAATCCCAGGTAGAGCTGGAATGCAGGCTGCCCCGAGGTCCCCAATTGCTGGCGCTTCCCCCGCAGGAACCGGTTAAACCAAACCTCTAGGCATCTCGGTTTTAGAGCGGTCTTAACGCCACAGCCCTCCGCGCCCAGATCCTCCGAAGTTGGGACACCGCCCACGTTTCCCCCGTGACATGGGCGCGGGGGCTCGGGAGTTGTAGTCTTGGGCAGGGCGCGGGCGCCGAGGCCGGGGCTGCGCGGACTCCACGTCCCGGCGGGCGGCGCGGCGAGGCCTGGGGCCGCCAGGGGCGGGGCCGCTCGGCCCTTTAAACCTTTCAGGGCTGCTCCGAGGGCCGCAGCTAGAGTCGGCGCCACGAGGGGGCCGAGCAGGGTGCGGCGGCGGCGGGGCGTTCCGGGGAGGTGCGTAGTGGGCTCCTTGCCTTCCTCCGGGCTTCCAGGAATCACCTGGGGAGTCTCGCGTCCCGGGTCTGGGGGAGTAGCTGGCCGCAGGCTCCGGCCCCAGTCGGGGTCCCCGCGCCCACGCGAGCGGGGGCCGGGCCGGGCTTTCGCGTGAACCTGCCCCTCGCCCAGGGCGCCGATGGTCAGGTGGTTGCCTGCGCGCCGCTGACTCGCCACCGCTCCACTGGGCCAGCACCCAGCCTCTCCTTGGCGTGGCCTCTTCGGTTGTCCAGCCCGTCTCCCAGCCCTGGTCCCTCAGAAGGAGGGTAACTCCCTTCCAGATGTTACGGTCCGCCTGCGTCTCTCAGCACGCCGGTGGCATTTGGGTTGACCGCGGAGGCCCCCAATGCCAGAGGGTGTCCACGTTATGCCTTGGGCTCAGCCCAAACTTTGGACGCTCAGAGACCCAACGGGAGCCCTGGATAAGGTGTTGACCCCTTTCCCCTCCCCCTTCCCGGCCAGTTACCCACTCCTGGACTTTGCTCTCTCTCCACCAGGCCAGGGCAGCTGATGGTTGTGGCAGAAACATCTCAAGGTAGCTGGTCCGCCCCCACTTCCCCATCTACCTCTTGTCCTCCCCCCCACACCACCACCACCCTGGCTCCCCTCCCTCATGACCGCCTGGATCCTCCTGCCTGTCAGCCTGTCAGCGTTCTCCATTACTGGCATATGGACTGTGTGAGTAAAGTGGGGTGCGGGGGCAACAGGAGCTTGATGATGCACACAAAGTCCCTTGTCCTGTTGTAGGCTTCAGGGTGGTACCCAGGGTCACTCTGGCTGTCTCAAAAGCCTGGCCTGGTGCCTGGGCACACAGCCCCTTGGGACAAGCTGGCAAAACTGCTGTCCAGCAGGGTGGCCCTGACAAATATACTTCTAGCCAGGGCAATCTCCAGGGGGCCTCTAGGTGGGGGACATGCTGCAGGTGCTGGTATGGCATCAAGCCTCAGGGACCCCAACTTGAGTCCCCAGGAACAATAATGAGGCTGAATGAGGCCAGAAATCAAGGTTGAAGAGAAGGGTCGTGGGGTGGGTTGATGGGGAGCTCAGGAAGGCTGGCCAGGGTGACAGTTCTGTTCCCACAGGTATGCCATGGCTGTGATGAACCACCATGTATGTCCCGTGGAGAACTGGTATGAAGGACTCTGCAGACAGCCTCGCTCTAAAGTTTCCTTCATCTCTGTCCCCTCTTGGGCCCGAGGGTGCCACGAGCCAGACTGCAACCCAGAGCCTCACTGCTCTTCTCTGAAATTGGTCCCCAGGCATGACTTCATGCCTACGCACCTCCCACCATCCCTTTGCCCCTCTGGTTACTGCTTCAGGCCAGCACTGGGGAGTGTGATCTTCTGTCCCTGTGGGGGAGGTCTGGGAGAGAGTCCTCTTTGAGGCCTGAGGCTATAGGCCAAGGGACTGGGGGCAGTCCCTTCCCCCAGTCTACTCCCTGTCCTGCCTGCCAGGTCCTACAACGAGTCCTGCCCTCCTGACCCTGCTGAGCAAGGGGGCCCCAAGACCTGCTGCACCCTGGACAATGTCCCCCTCATCAGGTAAGGCCTAGATATTGGGCAGGGGGAGATCCGAGGTCCTCCCAGACAGACCCTCAAGCAAAGAGCTGTCCTTGGGTCTCAGGAATAATAAGTATCCTAAGAGCCACTTCATAACAACACTACTTGCCAGTTACTATGGGGCAGGCACACTGCTGAGCGCTTTATATGCATTGTCTCTTTTCATCTTCCCAGGAGTGAGGCAGCTCTGGTTTTCACCATTTTATAGGTGAGAAAACAGGCTCAGTCTTACTCATCCAGGTTACACAGCTAGCTAATAAGTGGAGCCACCTGGATTTAAGCTCGAGCCCTCAGATTGCCCAGCCCGTGTTCTGGCTCAAGGATAGCCAAACCAGCTGCAGGGCTCAGCAAAGAGTGTCAGGGTTGCCTGAACACTCCTGGGCACTCCCTTCTCTCTCACACACGAGCTCTGCTTTGGGGGCCCAGCCTGGAACCAGTTGTTCATGAGGGACCCTGGCTTTTCACATAAATCAGTGGCCTGCCTGCTAAGGAGCAGGTGCAGGTAAATGAGGGGAGAGCCAGTGAGCCAGAATGGGGGCCCCCTGGGCCTCCTGCCGCCCTCTTACTTTGTCCTTCCCCCTCCTCGCAGCAAGTGCGGCTCCTATCCCCCAGAAAGCTGCCTCTTCAGCCTCATTGGCAACATGGGTGCTTTCATGGGTGAGTTGTACCCTTAGCCCTGACCCTGCCTGCCCAGCCCAGTGCCCCCAACACAGAAAGGCCCAGGAAGCCCTTCCTCTGTGCAGCCCTCCCCACCAAAGGCTGAGGCAATAGAAGCAACGTCTCTCCCCTTCCTTGAAGGCCAAAAGCTAACTCCCACACAGCCACCCTGCTGGCTGGAGCCTAAGGAAACCTAGTTCACCACCCGCCTGTCCATTCTGAGGGGCAGGAGCACCACAGGGTCTGGAGGAAGCTGACAGGCTCACTGGGCAGGGCCAAGGCTGGAGGAAGGCCTCAACTGTGCTCTCCTCCCCCAGTGGCCCTGATCTGCCTCCTGCGCTACGGGCAGCTCCTGGAGCAGAGTAGGCACTCTTGGGTTAACACCACAGCGCTCATCTCAGGCTGCACCAACGCCGCGGGCCTCTTGGTGGTTGGCAACTTTCAGGTGCTTCCCCTTCTCCCCCGCAAACCTTGAACTTTACCTAACAAGACCTGGCTGCCTGTAGGGTGGCACCTCAAGGTTGGGGCTGGAAGGAGGGAATGAGAAAGGAGGGGGAGGAAGGAAGAGGGAGAGAGGAGATTCACTGAAGGAGGGGTGGAGGGGCGGGGCCAATGGCCACATCACCAACTGGCCCTTCTCTGGGCCCAGGTGGATCATGCCAGGTCTCTGCACTACGTTGGAGCTGGTGTGGCCTTCCCTGCGGGGCTGCTCTTTGTCTGCCTGCACTGTGCTCTCTCCTACCAAGGGGCCACCGCCCCACTGGACCTGGCTGTGGCCTATCTGCGAAGTGTGCTGGCTGTCATCGCCTTTATCACCCTGGTCCTCAGTATCCTTTCAGGATGGGGCAGCCGGGAACTCATCCTCTAGCTCAACCTTTCTCCCTCCCAAGAGGATGGGGGATGGCGGCCTAACACTGCCATGTGGGGGAGAGGCCTAACACCTCTCCCTTTGGAGAGGTGAGGCCTGAGACTGCAGAAGGGGTGTTGCCAGGTTTCCATACGTCCTACTGAACATTTCCTTAGCCCCATTTCAGGTGGAGTCTTCTTTGTCCATGAGAGTTCTCAGCTGCAACATGGGGCAGCCCTGTGTGAGTGGGTGTGTGTCATCGATATCCTCATTTTCTATGGCACCTTCAGCTATGAGTTTGGGGCAGTCTCCTCAGACACACTGGTGGCTGCATTGCAGCCTACCCCTGGCCGGGCCTGCAAGTCCTCCGGGAGCAGCAGCACCTCCACCCACCTCAACTGTGCCCCCGAGAGCATCGCTATGATCTAAGGTCTGGGGAGGGTGGCTGGCCCGGCCTCTGCAGCACCCCACCCCATATCTTCTTTGCATTTATTTTGTACCAAAAACAATTTTGAGAAAGTATTCTGTTGGGATACGGGCTTCGTCACTTCTGGAGAAGTGGCCATCCCATGTCCACCTGTGCCATAGAGGAGTGGGCCCTGCCAGCTGCCATAGCTGCATGACCTGCTTCCCCACCCCACAGTGTTGTTTTGTTTTTAAAGGTCACCTGTCCTCACTCACCCAGCCAGCCCTTCAGGTGCCTTCTACTCCCAGTGCCAAAGCCAGACCACTGGGGTTTCCTGCTGCAGGAATTGGGGGCTGGGAACAGCAGAGGGGATAGAAGTCTGGTGGAGGTGGAGTGGGCACGCCTTAGCCTACGGAAAGGCCCATTTCTGGGCCCACTGAGCTGCACTGGGATTCTTCACTCTGCCCCTCACTTCCGTTAGGGCAAATAACACAGCAGAACCACGTGGGTATTTTAGTACTTTTTTTTTTATATTAAAAGGATTCTAATTTGCATCTTTGTAGTCTGTTCTGGAGAGTCGGGGGGCCTGATCTGGTATGGCTTTCCATAAGCCAAGGAGGGCAAGCCCTTGCCCCCAGGAGAGTGCTGAGTGCACTCTGTTGCCAGAAACAAAGGATGCCAGGTGCCATCCAAATACCCCTTCAAAGGGCTTGAAACCCTTCTGGGCCTCTAAGCAATCTAAAGAACTGCCTTGGTCTGATCATCTCACCCATCCCCCACTCAGAGTCTGCTTTGAACTTTGATTCCTTAGGAGGCATGGGGGGAAGGTGGGGGTGGTACAGAGAGCAACTTTAAAATATTAAACGTGGCTTTCTCAGTGGAGAGAAAGAAAATCTCTGGGATTACAAAGTTAACTAGACATTGCAGTAGGAGGAGGGTGCAGGCTAGTTTATCAGCTTTTTTTTTTTTTTTTTTTTTTTTGAGAGACAGTTTTGCTCTTATTGCTCAGGCTGGAGTGCAATGGCATGATCTCAGCTCACTGTACCCTCTGCCTCCCAGGTTCAAGCAATTATCCTGCCTCAGCCTCCCAGGTAGCTGGGATTACAGGTGTGTGCCACCACGCCCAACTAATTTTTGTATTTTTAGTAGAAACAGGGTTTCACCATGTTAGCCAGGATGGTCTTGAACTCCTGACCTCGTGATCCACCTGCCTTGGCCTCCCAAACTGCTGAGATTATATGCGTGAGCCACTGCACCCAGCCTAGTTTATCAGCTTTAAGTAATTAATTGGGTACCAGACCCTGACACATTTTGCCTTCCAACCATGAACACATAGGCCCAAGCCCTGGCTGATGCAGTAATCCAGTTCTTTACCACTGCCATGAGTCCAGATGGGCCAGCAGGGAGGAAAACCACAGCCTGGTGCTTTCTGTGGTTTAGGATCACCTTCCCCAACAGAAGTAGAGACCTGATGGAGGATGCAGAGCCCCTGGCCAGGTCTGTGATCAATACAGCCTCAGGGTGGGTAAAGAAACCTTTAATGAGGATTCAAGGTTAGTAAGGAAGACGCAGAGGGCCAGCACTCAGCCCCAGCCTCCTCACGTGTACATGGCTCCATGGAGGTTCTCCAGTCGGTGTTGCTGCTGCTGTTTTCGAGCCTAAAGGAAAGAAGGCACTCTGGGCAGGGGCCCAAACTGAAGGCCTATGGGTGAGGGGATGGGAAGCTATCATGGGGCTGACTCTCTCTGGCATCTGCACTGCTGAGGCTCTTACCACAAATCAAAGTCACTAACAAGGCAGCCGGAGCCAGGGTTTCTGAGGCCTACCCAGTCCTGCTGAGGTGGGAAGTGATGGCAGCGGGGGGACAGGACTGAGGGGGAGTCCATTACGACCCCTCCACTTAACCATCAGCCCCTACCTTATCTCGTCTGTGCTCCTCATAAGTGTCGTCATCAGTGGGCAGCTCATGGCGGCATAAGGGACAGGAATTTGTCTGAGAAAAGTAGAGCAGTGTTCTAGCCTTGGTCTGATCTTCATAAGCTGATAACCACCCTCCCCTGTTCCCAACTGCCACTCTTCTTCAGTCCCCCAGCAGTCCATGAACAGAAAGCAGCTTGAGTACTGGGCCCAGGGCAGGGTGAGAGCTGGAAGAAGAGAAGCAGTACCTTGCTTAGCCAGGGCAGAATGCAGCTGGAATGGAAAAGGTGATGGCAAGGCATCTCAATGGCAGTCTCCTCCTCCTCAAATTCCAAAAGACACACGGGGCACTTGAGCTCTTTAGGAAGGAGCGCTGGTCAGGAGAGCTGCTACAGGCTGTGCCTCCCAAGCTCCCACTCCTGAAGGATACTTGCCCCCACCTGACCTGGAAAACTGAAGGACCCAGACCACAGTCTGGCTTGGGGAAGGGGTGGGTCTGGCCCAAATAGCAGAAAGAATTAGTGTCCTCACCAGCCTGAGAGCCTCTGATGACTGTCCTGGGGAGGTTCTCAACCACATTCTTGGCAGCTGGTGGAGGCAGGTGGTGGTCCCAATCTACTACCAACCCCAAGTCTTCAAAGTCCATCCTATTGAAAAGTGACCTGGGGAAGTCAGGTACAAATGTAAAGTCAGAACAAAGGAAAACTATGCTTTTTCTTTGACCCCCATAATCCACTGGACATTAATAAACACCCTGCCCAGCTAGTAGGAATAATAGCTACCCTTAGTAGTTAGTAGATGCTCACTAGATAAAAAGCACGATGGGAAAGTTTACAGCTGCTATCAGACCGCTCCAGCACGTAAAGTGTTTATTCCCATTTTACAAATGAGGCAACAGGCTCAGAGAAGTTACTCAGGCCACGCTGAATAACCTGGTAGAGCCAGATTCCAAGTCAGCAGTACCTACTATTCCTGATGAATATACCCACTCACAGCACACGGCCCCAACCCCGCCCCCATGCCTCAACTTCCGCTCCCACGCCCACCACTCTCCAGCTCCAATCTTTCCCGCAATCCCCTTGCCCAGGCCAGCCCAACGGACGGCCCAAATTATCGAGATGCTCATTCCCACACCCCTCAGTCTCGCCGCCCGGACTAACTCCAGATTACTCATCTGTCCTCCCCAGAATCCACTGCCCCTGGTAATCCGTCTTCTCCAGCCAGGCCCAGCCCAGAAACTTGCGGGCTGGACCCCATCCCCAAGCCCCGCGCACTCACCTTGCGAGCTCCAGCAGCATGTTGGTTCGCGTCTCCTGCTCGGGGTCAGACGGCTCGCAGTCGTGTTCATCGAAATAGGACGCCATGGCTGGCCAACCTCCTGACACAACCCTCGCACCCGGCTCGATAGTGGTCTAGCGGCGCTGCCCAATAAACTGAGGAGCTGAGAGAGGCTGGCCAATCAGAGTATCCGAGGGACGGGCATAGTGGCTCGTTAAACCTCACGGAAAGCGGAAGTACTAATTCGGCCCCCTCTCATTGGCTTGAATAAGTCAGGTGACCAGAGACCAACGCCAATGACGGAGATCCGGCTGGTGAGGAAACTTTTGTTTTGGAATCGGAGCGAACACTGAATTCCCTGGAATTTCTGGCGCGGTCGCGTCCAAATGTCTGGTCTGTTAGGGTCCTCAGTCTGCCCTGAGGCTCAGAGGGCTTCGACTGTGCAGATGCTAGAGGCCTCTGCGAGAAAAGGCGGCGCTGGCCCAGGAGTTCAGGTTCCTGCGAGCGTTGGGCCATGGCGCTTCCCGATGCGCTGTCCAGATCCCCGCCGGACACTTCTGCCCCGCGGCGCTCTAGTTGGTTCAAGAGTTTGCGTTTGATTCCTCCCCAACCCCCGAAAAAAAAAATTCCTGCACATTTCTTATGTGTTAGGCATAATAATAAAGGGTGGGGCAAGCCTCCCCAACCGAGAGAGAGAGGTCTCTCTGCCAGAGAACCTGGGGCCTCAACCAGCTCATGGGACTGTTACCTTCAGCCCATTGCTATCCCTAGCTTCTGTAAAACTAGTGGCTTGTACTAAGACCTTTTCATTCCTGGCTACATATGAATTCCCAGAGGAGAGAATGGGCGCGGAGGAGCTTTAGAAACACCCGTGTACGATACCTTCCAAGAATCTGATTTAACTGATCTGTGGTGGGGCCTGGGCAATGGCACTTGTATAAATTCTGCAGGTGAAGCAGGTTTAAGAACCACTGCACTCTTGGCCGGGCTTGGTGGCTCAAGCCTGTAATCCCAGCACTTTGGGAGGCTGAGACGGGCGGATCACGAGGTCAGGAGATCGAGACCATCCTGGCTAACATGGTCAAACCCCGTCTCTACTAAAAATACAAAAATAAAAATAAAAAAATTAGCCGGGCGTGGTGGCGGGCGCCTGTAATCCCAGCTACTTAGGAGGCTGAGGCAGGAGAACGCAGGAGGTAGAGGTTGAACACAGGAGGTAGAGGTTGCAGTGAGTTGAGATCGTGCCATTGCACTCCAGCCTGGGCAACAGAGCAAAAACTCCATCTCAAAAAAAAAAAAAAAAAAATTGTTGAAGTGCTTTTTTCTTTGTCATCCCATCTACAGTCTCATTGGTCCTCTAAGCATCCCCAAGATGACAGAAAAATAATAGATTAAGATGACAGAAATATAATAGATTTCATTCTCAGAGAAACAGGCTCAGATGGGGAAGACTGGTTCAAGGGTCTGGTTTGGGGGCCATTGTATTCTTGCACCCACACTCCCTGTCTGTGTAGGGTTGGATCAAGTAGGGAAGGGAGAGGAAGGAGCCATCTCCCAGGGGTGGAGTCCTTTGGGTGATGGGCTTTCTAAGGAGCCCAAGGGGTAGAGAGATGAGATTAACCAAACTGGGGACCTTCACACACAGATACCAGCTTTTAATCAAACAGCAGCTTTTACTGAGCTCCAGGTAGGGCTGGCCCAGCATGGCCAGTACAGCAGGCTGCCCTCGAGGCCAGTCTGTGGCATGACAGGAAATGCAGGGGTGCACATGTTGGGGCTGCCCTTTGGCACTCACTGGGGTGGGTCAAGGGAGAGCAAACACCAAGGTCCTCTGGAGACCAGAACTGGCCAGTGCAGCCGTTTGGCTTCTGCTTCAGGACCAGCTGGGTCAGTCCCCAGGCCCTGAGGCAGTGCCTGCATCCTGGGTCCGTGGGGCACTACTGCTGTCACTGCTCTGAGGGAGAAAGACGGCCAGCAGCACAATCAGGATGATGAGCAGGCCACCGACCACCACCAGCCCCAAGCAGACCCGGCTACGGATGTTCTCCCAGCGCTTCTTCTGGGCCAGGGTCTTTGTAGTCTTGCTGAAGGTTGAGCTCTGCGGATACCCCCAGACACAAAGTGAGAGTTAGCTGGCACCCCCTTTGCCTGGGAGCCAGCTCCTCCCAGTCCCATCTCAGTAAGGCTTAGTCTCCTCCTGCATCCTCCCCATCTTGTCTGCTTTCTTTCTTGTTTTTTTTTTCTTTCTTTCTTTCTTTGTTTTTTGTTTTGTTTGAGATGGAGTCTCTCCCTGTCACCCAGGCTGGAGTACAGTGACACAATCTCAGCTCACAGGAGAATTCAAGAAATTCTCCTGTCTCAGCCTCCCTAGTAGCTGGGACTACAGGCACATACCACTGCACCCAGCTAATTTTTGTATTTTTAGTTGAGACAGGGTTTCACCATGTTGGCCAGGCTGGTCTTGAACTGCTGACCTCGTGATCCACCCGCCTCGGCCTCCCAAAGTGCTGGGATTACAGGCATGAGCCACCGTGCCCGGCCTTGTCTGATCTCTTTCTGTACCACCTGCCGTGGAACCCTCCCCACCTGACTCATCTCAAACACCAGTGTGGCCCCTTGACTCTCAGCCCTAGTGTCTCACCCTCTGTTAACAATGCCAGTACTCAGGCTGGACACAGTGGTTCATGCCTGTAATCCCAGCACTTTGGGAAGCCGAGGTGGGAGGATCTCTTGTATCTAGGACTTCAAGACCAGCCTGAGCAACATGGTGAGACCTCATCTCTACAAAAAAATCAAAAATCAGCCAGGCACCGCGGTGCATGCTTATAGTCCTAGCTCCTCAGGAGGCTGAGGCAGGAGGATCGCTTGAGCCTGGGAGGTAAAGGCTGCAGCAGATGTGATTGAGTCACTGTACTAGCCTGGGCAACAGAGTGAGACCCTGTCTCAAAGTAAAAAAGAAACAAAAAACAACGACAGTCTTCTACCTTTAGGAAGGTCCACAGCTTCAAACCAAGGCCGCCTTATTTTGTGGGGTCTATCTGTTGCATGTCTAGGCTATGGGTGCCTGAGGAAACCCAGAGGCCCCACACTGGCCCTGAGTAAGGCCTCAACCCCACCAATGACCTGGAGATCCTGAATACAGCCCAAAAGAGCCTTTCCCAATCCTCTCCCCTCCCCTCCATGCTCCCCCAGGCCTCACACCATATCCAGGAGTTGCTCTGAACGCTGCTCCAGTTCGGCCAGCTTCCCATCACGTTCCAGGACCTTGTCGAAGTTGTTAAGCATAATTTCCGTCACCTCGTTTGCCTGCCGCTGGCACCGCTCCAACTCTTTTCCTGCCTGGGCACCAAGCCCGAGGTCAGGGATGCATGAGGCTCCCACCTGACCCTCATCTGCCCCTGAGATCTAGAAGCCTCCTTCTCCCCCTGTAGGTGGGTACAGCATAAGAGTAACAGCATCCTTCGTGTAAGGGTGTGATGTGTGTGGAGTGAAGGGCTGGCCTTCGGGGTGAGTGCAGCATACCTTAGGTCTCACAGGCTCCTCCCCTTGCACATCAAGGCAGGGTGACCTAGGACCTAGGTCAGCCCTGGCTTCCAGCACCTCAGCTTCCTCTAAGCTGTCCCAAGGTGGGATCTTCCCAGGACCCCACCATCCCACAAAGCCGATTCTTTTCTCACCTGCTCCAGAATGGCCTCTACCCAATAATGCACAGCTGCCCTAAGGTGTCCCACTGGCCTAAGAAGGCAGCAAAGAATGGGTAACCAAGCTACCTGGCTGGAACACACAGGGAGGAGACCTACCCTACAGGCTAGAAAGGTAATTTTGAAGCAGCACACATCATAGTCTTTGCCTAACCCCTCTCGCCCCAAACTGAGAAGCTCAAATCTCCCTCCTTGGGCCTCTGACTGGTCAGGCCAGTTCTGCCTCCTGGCCTGATCCTGCTCCCTGTATCACTGCCCCAACTTCCCTCTCTGCCTGGGAACGTCAGTGGTACCAGCCCCTGGCCTCCAGCCTTCCAGTCAGCTGGGGTCCTCACTGGGGTCCAACTTACAGAGATGAGACCAACTCTTAGATTTCCCAGCTTGGGCGGCAGCTTTGCCTCCCTTCCCAGCTCATTTCAGAGGACTGGGAAGGGAGGTCTTGGATCCAAGCTGGGGAAGGTTGAAATGACAGGGGAGAGAGAAAATCTGGGTCATGTGCAAGAAAGGCACTGGGCTTTGGGTGCACGTAACAGAGACCCCAAGCAGGAGGCCCTAGTATAAGCCAGAAGCCTAGGAGCAGGGACATTTCAGGGAGATGAATACCAGTGGATTAGCAAACCACAGAAACTCCTTCCTCTTAGCCTAGTTCCCCACAGCCCATCCCTGTTCCTTTCCCCTCCTTACAAGAAGGGCAAGCTTCGTTTTCTGCCAGCCCACGTTACCCATTGTCTACAACAGACATTTTGGCACTTGACTGAATTCCACTTAAAACCAGAAAACTTAAGTGTTAGAAGAGATCTGGTGGTCACAGAGAGCCACCTCCTACTCAGGCAAGAATCCTCCTTTAGGTTCCTTGCAGCTGCTTGGTACACAGCCTCCAAGAATTCCCAGTGTATGAGTCCTATCTCCCCAGCTGGACCACAAACTCCCAGAGGGAGGGCAGGGAGCAGTGCCCTGCCTTTGTCCACCACCATCCCACCAGGAGGCCAGCACAGTGCTGACCATTGCAAGCAAGGACTCAGTGAGTGGGCCAATTACGATACAGCCTAACCAAAAGCAACTCTTATTCTCAAGGGATGTTCTCCCAGCATGTTTTTCTAGCCCTGCATGAGTTTCGAGGGGCAGGCATTTGAAACCCAAATAGGTCAATATTTACCCACGAGCTAGAAAAGCAACCTGCTTCAAGAGAGGTCAGGCAAACCACTGTAGGGGAGGGTGCACTCATAGGCTGGAGGAAGCAGTAAGCAGGAAACACAGAGGAACAACGAAGAGAGCAGGGAAACTGCACTCTCACCTTTTCTTGAGTCAACCATCATCACTATTATTACTACTATAGCATTCAACAAGTCTCTGTCATTCAATCATTTGAACTTCCCCACATTCAAATACTCCAAGGCAGGCTGGGCACGGTGGCTCACGCCTGTAATCCCAGCACTTTAGGAGCCTGAGGCAGGCAGATCACTTGAGGCCAGGAGTTCGAGACCAGCCCAGCCAACATGGTGAAACCCTGTCTCTACTAAAAATACAAAAATTAGCCAGGCATGGTGATGCGTGCCTGTAATCCCAGCTACTTGGGAGGCTGAGGTGGGAGAATCACTTGAACCTGGGTGGTGGAGGTTGCAGTGAGCCGAGATCACACCACTGCATTCCAGCCTGGGCAACAGAGCAAGACTCCGTCTCAGCAAACAAAACAAAACAAAGCAAAAAATAAAATTAAATAGTCCAAGGCCAGGCGCGGTGGCTCACACCTGTAATCCCAGCACTTTGGGAGGCCGAGGCAGGCAGATCACGAGGTCAGGAGATCGAGACCATCCTGGCTAACATGGTGAAACCCAATCTCTACTAAAAAATACAAAAATTAGCTGGGCGTAGTGGCGGGCGCCTGTAGTCCCAGCTACTCGGGAGGCTGAGGCAGGAGAATGGCGTGAACCCGGGAAGCGGAGCTTGCAGTGAGCTGAGATTGCGCCACTGCACTCTAGCCTGGGCATCAGGGTGAGACTCCATCTCAAAAAATAAAAATAAAAAAATAAAAATAAAGAGTCCAAAGCAAAAACTTGAGAATGGATAAAGACTCGAAAATAAGAGTCACTGGTAGAGACAGGGAAAATACTGGATATTATCTTTTTTTATATATACATATTCTAAACGCTACAGCTGTTGTTACCTTATTCTTCAGCAAGGGGTGATATTGGGGTCACATTCTCCAGAGGGCTGGCTGTGCTTCCAGCTGTAATCTGGACCAGTCTCCCCCAGTGCAAAGCCAGGCCTGCCTGGAGCCAAGATGGACCCAGGCCTAAAAGAACACATTCACTCCAGGGAACACAGAGGCCTTAGACTCAAGTCTCGGGCCCTCTTTGGCCCCCACTCAACCAGAGGAAAAAGGACCCTGCCTATATCCACAGGTCTCTGCTAGCACGGTGAGAAATAAAGCTCCAGGGACCCTGGAAGGAGGTAAGCAAGAGGACAAGGGTCACACTGCCTTATGCCACACGGTAACTCAGCATAATGTCCGCAGACAGCAGATATGTGATAAACAGTTCCTGAATGAATTGTGCCTATATATTTTTTTTTTTTTTTGAGACGGAGTCTTGCTCTGTCGCCCAGGCTGGAGTGCAGTGGCCAGATCTCAACTCACTGCAAGCTCAGCCTCCCAAGTAGCTGGGACTACAGGCGCCGCCACCGCACCCGGCTAATTTTTTGTATTTTTAGTAGAGACGGGGTTTCACGGTGTTAGCCAGGATGGTCTCGATCTCCTGACCTTGTGATCCGCCTGCCTCGGCCTCCCAAAGTGCTGGGATTACAGGCGTGAGCCACCGCGCCCAGCCAATTGTGCCTATATTTTTAAAGATGGGGTCTTCCTATGTTGCCCAGGATGGTCTTGAACTCTTGGGCTCAAGCAGTCCTCCCACCTCAGCCTCCCAAAGTGCTGGGATTACAGGCATGAACCATCATGCCTGGCCTAACTGTGCCTATTCTTAAAGAGACCACTTTGCCCTGGGGAAAATACATATGTAATACAATTAGAGAAGAGGAAAGAGTTACACTGTGTGATACAGATAGTAAGTGTCGGAGCTGCCACAGAGAGGGTGCCATTGCGGGGGTTGACCCCTTGAAGGATGGCATGGAGCTGGGACATTCTGGCACTGAGAGAGAGGGATACACTCTGACAGTGAGGACCAGGCAGAGGATGGGCGGGACAGGGTGGGGCTACAGAAGGCAGAAAAGGTCAGGTAGAGAAGACTGGCTCCAAGTGAGTGATAAAACTTAAGAGCTAGTGTGGGTTTTTGAGTCAAGGGTGACAGTCAAGAAGTGCTTCAGGATAATTTCTCTATTGGTGGTAGACAGGCACGGATAGAAGTAAGAAACCGGCAGAGAGGCCAGCCAGAGGGGTGGAGAAGTACCATCAGCAAGGCTGTGAGGAGATGCCCACCAGGACAGAGAGAGGTGACGAGCAGAGCGTGGAGAAAGGAAGAAGGGTGAGAGAGGCATTTCTGAGACCTGAGGCCAGAAGCCTGCAGGGCTTGGAATTTTGAGCCAGAGCAAGCGGGGAGCAGTTGTGTCATTGCCAGAGAGTGGCAGTTACACAGGAAATGTTCTTGACAGACTGTTGCCCCCTGCACAGAATAACCCCTCTATGACACTCAAACCTTTCAGGTTTTTCTGGGCTCAATCTCTTTGATTCCTGCTTTGAAAATGTAGTTCTCAAAACCACACCATCTGGGCCAGGCACGGTGGCTCATGCCTGTAATCCCTGGACTTTGGGAAGCCAAGGTGGGCAGATCACGCCTCTACCAAAAAATACAAAAAATAGCCGGGCAAAGTGATGCCTGCCCGTAGTCCCAGCTACTCGGGAGGCTGAGGCAGGAGAATTGCTTGAACCTGGGAGGCAGAGGCTGCAGTGAGCCAAGATTGCACCACTGCACTCCAGCCTGGGCGAAGGAGTGAGACCCTGTCTCAAAAAAAACAAAGAAACAAAAACAAAAAAAACTTCCCTATCCTAACTCTCCTTGTCTCCCTGTCTCCTGTCTAGTATCCAAGAAACTCTGTTCTAACTGTCGTCAGATAAATGGGCGCAAGTACTGGTATAACATCGCCTCCCTAAGTCAGCACTCAGCTCAGAGACTAGGAGTAGAGCTCTGCTTTGCACCCCTCTGTTGAAATCCTGCTTCTGCCACTCACTAGCTGAGTGACTGAGACTGAGGATATGACCTTTCTGACCTCCATTTCCTCTCCTGTAAAGTGCTGATAATAATGACTTCTCTTACAATGTTAGCTAAGGATTATGTGACATATTCATTTGTGATGTAAATCAAAAGCTTAGCACAACGCCTGGCACATACTAAATGCTCAATGAATAAGGGCTATTATTATTGATGTGGCCCACATTTCCCTAGTTCCGTTTTTTTTTTTTTTTTTTTTTTTAGCAGTCAGATCTCAAGAATTGTACAATATGGCCAGGCGTGGTGGATCACGCCTGGAATCCCAGCACTTTGGGAGGCCGAGGCGGGCAGATCACAAGGTCAGGAGTCCGAGACCAGTCTGGCCAATATGGTGAAACCCCGTCTCTACTAAAAATACAAAAATTAGCCAGGCGTGGTGGCAGGCACCCGTAATCCCAGCTACTTGGGAGGCTGAGGCAGGAGAATCACTTGAACTTGGGAGGCGGAGGTTGCAGTGAGCTAGATTGTGCCGCTGCACTCCAGCCTGGATGCAGAGCGAGGCTCTATCTCAAAAAAAAAAAAAAAAATTGTGTAATACATGTGGTCAATAAAACCTCTTCGTTTTACAAAATGCACAGCCAAGCAAGCTCTTCCCTATGGCAAACTTGTACACATAGTACACATAATTGTTTCTAACCCGTAGCTCAGAACTTTACATGGGCCTCTGGTAACCAGCATCTAGTTTATTTTCATCTGGCACTGCAGGCTGTTGAGGTTTTACATCTTGAGCAAGAATAACAGCCACCATTCAATGGGCACATACTCTGAGCTAAGCACTATGCTGCTTGCTGTTCATTTGCTCTGCCTCATTTAATCTTCACCCAACAACCCATTGAAGACCATATTATTAACCCAGTTATTTTGTTTGCTTGTTTGTTTTTGTTTTGAGACACAGTCTTAATTCTGTCACCCAGGCTGGAGTGCAATGGCATAATCTCAGCTCACTGCAACCTCCACCTCCTGGGTTCAAGTGAGTCTCCTGCCTCAGCCTCCCGAGTAGTTGGGACTACAGGCACGTGCCACCACACCCGGCTATTTTTTTATATTTTTAGTAAAGACAGGGTTTCACCATCCTTGCCAGGCTGGTCTTGAACTCTCGACCTTGTGATCTGCCCGCCTTGGCCTCCCAAAGTGCTGGGATTACAGGTGTGAGCCACTGCGCCTGGCCTTTTCCCAGTTTTATAGGAAACTTTGGCTCAGAGGTGTTAAATCACCTGTATAAGATCACAGAGCCAGTAAGTAGATCTGGGAGTTGAACCAACACAGACTCCAGGCATCACATTCATAACCGGTGTGCTAAATTAGATACAGGTACAAGGAGGCCAAACACTTTAGCTGACTGGCTAAAGAACCACCAAACCTTTTGATGCTACCAACTTAATTTGTGTGCATATGAGGGAGGCCCGTGGCTCAACACACACATTCTTTGGAGAGAGGATCATCTACAAGATTAATGAATTCAGGTAATTACTCATTCTATTTCCATCTTTCCTATCCTACTTTGTTCCTGCTCTGTCCCCTATACTTGTCACCATGCTGGCATGAAGGACATGCCCAAGAAATCCTTGTTGGTTGAATGAGTCATAGAGAATAAAAGAAAAGTAAAAGGAAGAAGGACCAGGGAGGGAAAGGGGATGGGTGGAAGGAAGGGAAAGAGCTAGGGTGAGAAAGGGGCAATAGTGAAAGAAGAAACAGGAAGAGGCTAGGAGATGGATGGGTATAGGAGCGACCTCCCCAGGCTCTCCTCCACAGACTGCCTCAAATGTACCCGTGAGAATCCCCAGGTTTCCCAATACCCTCTTCCCCCAATAAATTATCCTGCCTTCACCTTTCACTTCAGGAGCTTCTCCCCAAGAGCTAAGGGCTGACTGAAGCCCACCCCTACCCCTGCCTGACCCCTTGCCCTGCACATCCTGAAGTGGGCTCTTGGCTCTGCCCTATTCTCAGAGCCTTCCTCAGCTTCCCGGCATGGCCTCAGAGCTCAGTGCTACCTTCCTGCCCCACTTCCTCTTCCTGCCTCCAAATTCCCTGGAGATGAGGCCATCCAGGCATTGACCCCTAGCCAGGCCACATCCATCACACCTCTGTCAGTTTCTCCAAGGCAAAATCTTAAAGCACCAAGCCTACTTCCTGCCCAGTCCATCTTCCCAGGAGCCCTAGGGAAAGAGGGAAACTGGCACCAGCTGTTCCTGACATCTTCGCCTTGGAGATGGCAAGTGAGGACAGAGGCCAGGATATGCAGCAGGAGTGGGGGGTGACTCAACTCAGGAATGTGTCACTAGGTAGAGGTTAGCAGGGAGTCAGGCCTGTGTCACACTCTGATAACTTCAGTGGAACTTTCAGAGTAAACATCTCCCTTTCTCTTTCTCTAGGGGAGGAGTTAGGCCTCCAACACCCTGCCATGGGGCTGGAATGGCCTCTGCCACCCCATCTGCTCAAGTTTCCAACTCCTGAGCCAGGCTTGGCTCCTCACAGCTGCGGAAAGGGCTGACGAGGTCATTACATTTCCTACCACTTCTTAGCAGTGGGTTCTGAGTGCCAGGCGGGTCTCTGCCATTGTGTCTCCTTTAACCTCGCAAGGACCCAACAAGGCAGGTATTACTGACCCCACTTCACAGATGCGGAAAAGGAGGCTCAGGGAGGTTAAGTGACTCGCCCCGGGTCACAGAGCTGGGATCCCAGCCCGGAGTCCTCCAAAGTCGATGCTCCTAACCGCTTCGCTTCAGGAGAATGGGGAGCCCGGGCCCCGCTCGCTCTGCGCGGTGCAGCCAGGACGGGGATCAAGCATTTCCCTCCCAGGCAGCCCGCGGGGAGTGGAGGGTCCGCCCCATCCTGCTCCGGCCGTGGTCACCGCCTCGGGTCTGACCCGCACGGGCCCTAGGGTACGCCCCGGCCCGTGGACTTCGGACTCCTTTCTCCCACCCTCGCCACTCGCCCTCTGCCCGTCGCAGGGCTGGCCGGCCCCGCCCGGGCCCTCACCATCGCCGCTGCCGCCGACGCCTCGCCCGCTCCCGGCTTCTCTGCCGGCTGAGCGGCCGCAGTGCCAGCGGTCCCGGAGGAAGCGCAGGGGCGGGGCGGGGCGGGCCGCCGAGAGAGGGCGGGGGGCGCGCCTTCCGCGAGTGGCGACCGAAACTGAGTCAAATCGAAAGCGATGGGCCACAGCGACCCGGGTCCGTAGAGTCGCCTCCTCCCGGGCCCCAGGAGCCTGAATTCGGGTGACACCTCAGCCTGGTGAACGGGCACACCTCGGGGCCGGATCTGTGGAATGGGCACAGTGGAGTGAGCCCTGGAGTCTCCTAGGTCGGGTTTAGCTGAAGAGGCATCATTCATTCACTCAACAAACACCCTATGAGTGTCACGGTCAGGCACCACGCTAGGTCCTGGAGACACCATGAACAAGCCAGGTAGGGTCTTTGTCACCTTGGTGAGTGCATCTCACCCAGAATCAAAAACAGGCCCCCCCAAAGTTTTGAAACTAAAGACAAGTGGTGGTTACACAACATTCTGAATACATGTTTCTGATTTGTACACTTTAAAATAATAAACTGTATGTTATGTGACTTTCGCCTCTATTCAAAAAGAAAGCAGCCCCACATGGGCAAAGTACTAGCTCTAGCCTTTCTGTATGTCTCTCCTCACCATGAGGGCAAGTGCAGCTCTGTGCTGGCATGCACCTGCCATGCACCTGCTCCTCAGTCAGAAGATGGGGGAGGGTGGTGTGTCTGCTACCACTTCAGAGCCTTCCTGAGCCGAATCTACCCATCCTCTCCTCTCACTGCTGCAGAGAAACCACCAGCTACCTGTTCTCCACTACTCCAAGCTGCCTCAGACATCTTAAAATAAGGTCCCTCTTTTTTTTTTTTAAGAGAGAGAGAGACAGGGTCTCACTATGTTGACCAGGCTGGTCTCGAACTCCTGGCCTCAAGCAGTTCTTCTGCCTCAGGCTTCCAAAGTGTTGGGATTACAAGTGTGAGCCACTGGGCCTAGTCCCTCAAATAAGGTATCTCTTGACCAACAGAGTTGAAAGTTTCCCTCTCTGGGGCTAAGCCTCTGTGAATACAGAAGTCCCAGACCAAGAGGGTTTCACAGACCCTCACCCCCACCTTGGACAGCCTGGGTCCCAAGGCAGAAGCTTCACTTCAGTTCCTTACACCTTGAATCCAGGAGAGAAAGGATTAATATATGTAGCAAAGACTACCCCAAGGCCGGGCACGGTGGCTCCCACTTGTAATTCCAGCACTTTGGGAGGCCAAGGCGGTAGGATTGCTTGAACCCAGGAGTTTGAGACCAGCCTGGGCAACATAGTGAGACCATGTCTCTACTAAAAATACAAAAATTAGCCAGGTGTGGTAGCACACACCTGTGGTCCCAGCTACAAGGGAGGCTGAAGCAGGAAGATCTCTAAAGCCCAGGAGGTGGAGGTTACAGTAAGCCATGATCACACCACTGCACTCCAACCTGGGCAACAGAGTAAGATCCTATCCCTGAAAAAATAAAAATAAAAATCTCATAAGGGTCTTTTCTGACCTTTCCTCCTCCCTGCTTCAGAGCCTGATTCTTCCAGAGCCTGACTTGCCAATCTAGTCCCAAATCCTGACTCTCAACCCTTCCCCTTCCTCCTGACAACAGGTTGTTTCCAATGCTGGAAAACCTGTAGAGGAAACAGGAACAGAGATAGCAAGAACCCTCCCTGCAAACCAAGGCAGACTGGGCACTGGAAAAAGTAACAGTGATAGTGGAACCTGGTAGGGAGGAGGGGGGCCTGAAGACAGAAAGGCTCATTGTGCACGGAGGGGAAGGAGGGCCATTGGCCCTGTCCTGTGACACTGACTGACTATGCCCAGCCATGGGATGCGGAGGAGAGATGCTTGCCCCCTTGGGATAACTAAGACCCAGAGGCCTTGCTAAGTCCCAGAAGACAAGGACAGAGAAAAGACAAATAGAACATGAACATACAAAGCACAAGGAAAGGAACAGCAGTCCATTTCCTCCACCCCTCGGCTCTAGACTACACGGTCGTTGAAGAGAGATGGCTCTGGTGGAAGAGGCAGGAGGCCTTCAAGCAGCTCTTAAACACCCTGTCCGGGTAGGCTTCATGCCTCAGCTAACAATTCCAGAAGAACAGTACTACAGGGCCATGGCAGGACCCAATGGGAACACTTAAAAATCTTGCGTACCACCCCAAAATGCTATGAAGGTTTTGAATTTTCCATATGCCAAGACTCCCAGAAAATTCTTGTTCTTGAGACCTGTGACAATGAATGGAACCGGGAGGAATAAAGAAAGACATCTTTCTTCTCCAAACATACACTCTTTGCCCTTCAAACCACTTGGACCTCAGACGAGAGAATTTCAGCCAGAAGGTATCCTTGGGAAGAAAAGAAATAGAAAAGCCAAAGGCAAAATGGGAAGAGAGAAAGTGACTCACACATATAGGGATACTGAAAGGTCTTTATTGCCCACTGGCCACCAGCAGTTTCCCAGCCACATGCTGGGCCCTCTAGGTCTCTCCAGCCCACTCTAAGGACCCATGAAATGCATCCGCAGTCCAGCTCTCTTTTTTCTCTCCTTCTGGGGGACCAAGTTACCCTCTGGGGCATACAACACGGCAGGAGGGCCTCGGGAAGAGGGGTAGGAGGACCGAGCAGCATTCTCTGTAGAGGAGGACAGGAAAGGAGACCCTCTTGGCACCCATTTACAGAGGGTTGTCCCTGAAGAGAAGGGCAGGTGGGAGAGGTTCCCTATTACTTAAGAGAAGGCACCAGTGGCAAAGAGCACAATGAAGAGAATGATGATAAAAACAATCACGCAGATAAGGACAATCATCTTCACATTCTTCCACCAGAATTTCCGAGCCACCTTCTGCGATGTCGTCTTGAAGTGCTCAGACTGTTGAGGAAAAGGCAGAGTGAGTGACCCAGTGGCTTCTCCCACTGGAACAAGAGTATAAGTACAAGTACAACCCACAGGCCAAACTTTCTTGTTTTTGTTTTTTTGAGATGGAGTCTTGCTCTGTTGCCCAGGCAGTGGTTCGATCTTGGCTCAGTGCAGCCTCCACCTCCTGGGTTCAAGTGATTCTCCTGCCTCAGCCTCCTGACTAGCTGGGATTACAGGTGCCCACCACCACACCCAGCTAACTTTTGTATTTTTAGTAGAGATGAGATTTCACATGTTGGCCAGGCTGGTCTTGAACTCCTGACCTCAAGTAATCCGCCCTCCTGGGGTGGGATTACAGGTGTGAGCCACTGTGCCCGGCCTACAAGCCAGACATCTGTTTGTTTGTTTGTTTGTTTTCTTGAGACAGAGTTTCACTCTGCTGCCCAGGCTGGAATGCAGTGGCGCAATCTCAGTTCACTGCAACCTCCACCTTCCGGGTTCAAGCGATTCTCCTGCCTCAGCCTCCTGAGTAGCTGGGATTACAGGCGTGCACCACCATGTCCAGCTAATTTTTGTATCTTTAGTAGAGATGGGGTTTCACCATGTTGGCCAGGCTGATCTTGAACTCTTGACCTCAGGTGATCCACCTGCTTTGGCCTCCCAAAGTGCTGGGATTACAGGCATGAGCCACGGCGCCTGGCCTTGTTTGTTGGTTTTTTGAGACAGGGTCTCGCTCTGTCGCCCAGTGCAGGCTGGAGTGCAGTGGCACAATCTTGGCTTACTGTAGCCTCCATCTCCAGGGCTCAAGCAATCCTCCCACTTCAGCCTCCCTAGTGCTGGGACTATAGGCACATGCCACCATGCCCAGCTCAAGCCATACATCTTAATAGTGACACTGTAAGCTGAGGTAGCAAACTGCTAAATAAAATATGCTTTGGCCAGGCACAGTGGCTCACACCTATAATCCCAGCACTTTGGGAGGCTGAGGCAGATGGATCTCCTGAGGTCAGGAGTTCATGACCAGCCTGGCCAACATTGTGAAACCCCCTCTCTACTAAAAATACAAAAAAATTAGCCAGGCATAGTGGTGGGCGCTTGTAATCCCAGCTACTTGGGAGGCTGAAGCAGGAGGATCACTTGAACCTGGGAGGTGGAGGTTGCAGTGAGCCAAGATCACACCAATGCACTCCAGCCTGGGCAACAGAGTGAGACTCCATCTCAAAAAAAAAAAAAAAAAAAAAATTGCTCTATCTTGCCTACCTTGACAAATGTACCTTCCTAAAAATCTGGAAGGCCAGGTTGAAATTTAGAATTCTCAGGATCCTAGGAGGTCTCCACCTAGATATGACTAGGGGTCCCCTTTCTCTTCTTACCCCTGCACTGTCATGCACACTGAGGGGTCCTTGACACCTGCTTACACCCAGGGGTACAACACTGGCAGCACAATCTGCCCTCCCAATCTGCCCTTGGGAGGGCAGATCCTGGGACTGAGGGATGCAGGCTCCAGGTGGGCACATCTCCCAGCTACAGGACTCCTTGCCCCATCGGGACTGCTGAGGCTGGAGGAGGGACCAGGACAGTACAGAGGGTTGGAAGTAAGGGAACTCCTCCTCCTCCATGCACTCTTCCCCATGCCCAGCAATTCGAGTTATAGACACTAAATTTCCTAGTGCTTGTCCAGGCATGGTGACTCAAGTCTGTAATCCCAGCACTTTGAGAGGCCAAGGTGGGTGGATCACCTGAGGTCAGGAGTTCGAGACCAGCCTGGCCAACATGGCAAAACTTCGTCTCTACTGAAAATACAAAAATTAGCCAGGTGTGGTGGTGCACACTGTAATCCCAGCTACTCAGGAGGCTGAGGCAAGAGAATCATTTGAACCCAGGAGGCGAAGGTTGAAGTGAGCCGAGATTGCACCACTCTAGCCTGGGCAACAGAGTGAGGCTCTATTAAAAAAAAAAAAAAAATTCCCGGGGCCATGCTCCCCAAATTAAGCTACAATTAAGCTACAGAAACAGGCAATGAGCCCCAGGGAGACAAGGGAGCAATACCCAAGAGCCAAGAGTTCACACAGGACTAAGAAAGCCAGAGCCAGCTTCCCAGCTGGACACAAAACCTGAGGCTCCAGACTTTGCTCAACTTTGGAGTTACTTCCTCCCTGAAACAGCTGGCCGCAGCCCCTGGCTGGAGAGAGAGAAGAATGAGGTCTAGCAAGATGTGTGGGAGATATTATTTTAGCCTTCATCTAGCAGGGGACCCTGGGATCAAAGCATTTCTCTGCTCTTTCCTCCTTCTTTTTAAAGCCAACTCAGCAAGATACCAGCAATTTCCCACCCCTTGTCTAATAGCTCCTAGAGAAGGCTAGAGGCCACGGTGGGGGGGTTTCCTCAAAGCCAATACTTCTGCCCTGGGAAGGTCAGATCCAAATGATTGTCATGGGCAGGCTTCAAAGGGAAAACAAGTTTCCCGGGAGAGAAGCCTGAGAATGCATGGGCTGACTGAGCTATTGGTCTCAGAATATGCCTCTATGGGTTAGCTGCCACCTCAAGCCCCAGTCATGGGATCCATTCCCTGGGATCCATAACAATCTGTGGAGCAGAGCAGATTCAGAAGTGGAGACTCAGCTCACATCAGCTCCCAAACCAGGTGAAAGGCAACAGAAATGTTACACTTCTGACCCTCCTGTTCATTTTGCCCCACCAAAAAGAAATTCCCTCCCTTCCTCTTTTCCTCCAGCCCCCAGTGGGCTCCCTGTCTCACTGTGGCTTCCAGATCCTCTGTCTTGTTGCGGAGATGTTCCAAGTTTTCCCCTCGGGCCAGGATCCGCTCCACATTCTGGGTCATAATATTCTTAACTCCCTCCACCTCACTCTGCAGGTTCCGCACGCGATCATTTCCTCCACCTTCACTGGCTTCCTCCTGCACAGCAACACGGGGTTAATTAGACCAAGGGGTGGGGGAACTGGAGACTTGGCCTCAGAGGCCTGGGGAGGGTAAGGCCTCAGGCAGACTTCAGCTTTTTGTAAAATGCTTGAAATGTTTACAAAGAGAATGTTTTCATGTATTACTTGTGTAATCAAAAATAAATGCATTTGTAAGCCCCAGAAGGTAAGACGTGATGCTAAAGAGACTAGATCAAACTTCTTTCGGGATTGTTAGGACCCCTGACAAGGAAAAGCAGCGCATCACTAAATCCCTCCCCACTGCTTCCTTGCTCCCTAGAGAAGGCCGTAGAATACAGCAGAGCCGGCATCTCACAATGTTCCCTTTCCAGGGCAGAGCCCACCACTATTTACAATTCCCGGAGCCACCCCCCTTTCCTGATTTCTCGGGATCCTCATTGAAAGTGTCTGTGCTGGCCAGCAAAACACCCTCACCCAGCCTCACCCATCTGCCCCTCTAAATAGCTGCTGGAGCATGGCCCTGGCCGCAATGCCATTGCTGCTGTGACCCAGAACAACAGGCAACCAAGTACCCCAGAAGGCGCCCACAGCCGTTGAGCCACACACTTCTGCTTTCCCTACCACTGGGCACCACGCGCAGGCACCAAGCAACCACCTGCTTATGCAGACATTAAATAAAAATACCCGCCTGGGTGTTGGGGGAAATGGAGGACTAGTCCTCCCTGGCTGATGTCTCATCTCAGAGGCTTCATGACAAGGTTTTTGAACAAGGAGAGAAAAACATTATTAAGCTCCTCCCTCCTTGACCTCCAAAAACAGGCCAGTGGCATGGGTCAGAACTAGCTTATCAAAGAGAACCAACTTCTGGTTATCTTATAAACCCTTAGTTCTCTTCTTCATGTTAATGGAGAAAGGACACCCAAAGGACTCAGTGGACACACAAATCCTTTGTGTTTCTGTGTAAGGATAAAGTGAAAGGCCAGAGAGGAGAGCTCCTGCCGCTGGGCTGGAATCTGAACTGGAAACTGCCCAGGCACTGCCTGGTGGTGTCACAACACCCGCCTCGGGCTCCCTGGAGGAGGAAGGCACAACAACACTTTGCCTGGAATTCGGAGCCCCCATTGGCACTGGCACGGAAGCCCAGCTCCCCACCAGCACAGAGTTCAGGGGAGGGAGGAAGAAGGAATAGAAACACCTGCTAGGACGGTTCAGAGCTATTTGCAGCCAAGTTGTCAAAGAGGAGAGGCCACAGGCAGCACTGGCCCAGCCCTCTAACTTTGCCGCCAACTCTCCTCCCCCCACACAGCCAACCCCCAGTCCCGAGCCCCTTCTGGCTCCTCTTTAAATCAGCCCTTTCCTAGTTTCCAGTTCGCTCACCATGTCTCAGAGCAGCCCAGGCCGATCAGCAGGTGAATTCGCCTTAGTCGGCTTCCTCCCAGGGTGGCCGTCAGCTCACTTCCTGCTTGCTCCAGCTTTCAGCCTGCCCCCGCCCACCTTGCATCTCGAGTCGCTCCAGCCACACCTAACTCAGGTTTCCCCAGGTAGGCGGGCACTCTTCACTGTCCACCCAGTGGCTTCCCAAACAAGAGCTTAAGCTTAGAGTAATAGGGCTCTCAGATGTTAAAGGTCTTCTAACTTTTCAGGAATTAGAAAAGAAAGATCAAGCAGCCCTCCAAGGTTTCCTGTGGCTGGACCTCCTGATCTAGAAAGGGCAGCCATCTCTCTCTCTCTCTTTTTTTTTTTTTTTTTTTTAATAGAGATGAGGTCTCACCATGTTGCCCAGGCTGGTCTCAAACTCCTGGGCTCAGACGATCCTCCCACCTCAACCTCCCAAAGTCCTAGGAGCCATGACGCCCCACCAGCCATCTCCTTTTAATGTCTTGAATATCTGACTCCAGTTTCTAGAGACAGAGATCAACCATGCCAGGCCCGGCTCACAGGGAAACAAAATGCAGTTATGAAAATTTCTTGCTGGATAACACTTGTTCTCAGGTCCCTCAGTGACAGAAAGCACTAAAACCCCTGAAGTCTGGAATACTGTGATCCTGGGCTCTGATTCAGAAAGCTCTGGGTTACTAGTTACAGGCCCCTGAGTGAACCTTTTCACCTCTGTGGAGTTTGCAGGTGCTGATGCTTAGCTCAGACAGTGCTGGTAAGAAGCAAAAAGAGGCTGGGCATGGTAGCTCACGCCTGTAATCCCAGTACTTTGGGAGGCCAAGGCAGGCAGATCACTTGAGGTCAGGAGTTCGAGACCAGCCTGGCCAACATGGCAAAACCCCGTCTCTACTAAAAATACAAAATAATTAGCCAGGCATGGTGGCAGGTGCCTGTAATCCCAGCTACTCAGGAGGCTGAGGCGGGAGAATCGCTTGAACCTGGGAGACAGAGATTGCAGTGAGCTAAGACTATGCCATTGCACTCCAGCCTGGGCAACAAGAGCAAGACTCTGTCTCAAAAAAAAAAAAAAAGATAGCGTGTGCAGTGTACTGCCACTAGCACAGTGTCTGTAATGATGGCTCACCAAACCCCTCCTTCCCTTCCAGAGTTCAGCAATTCTGCATTTCCCTTCAGGGACCACCACAGAGGTAATTGATCCCAGTCAGTGATCAGTGATCAGAAGACTGCCCTGGTGTACCAGAGCAGGGGCCCAAGGCAAAGGACTTTTCCACTAACCTGGCTCCAGGCCGGAGAAAATCTGTTCTTCCTTGACAGTGTTTATCAAGACAGAAGAACAATAACAGGGACATTCAGAAGGGAACGAACATTCTTGACCCATTCCAGAAGATATCAGTTCCAAGGAGGAAATGTCAACTTTTCCAACAAATACTTTTTTTGTTTGTTTATTTTGTTTTGTTTTCTTGAGATGGTCTCCTCTGTCACCCAGGCTAGAGTCCAGTGGCATGATCGTAGCACACTGCAGCCTTGAACTCTGGGGCTACAGCGATCATCCTGCCTCAGCCTCCCCAGTAACTGAAACTACAGGTGCAAACCACCATGTCTGGCTAATTTATTTTAAAACTTTTCGTAGACATGGGGGTCTTACCATGTTGCCCAGGCTGGTCTCAAACTCCTGTTCTCAAGTAATCCTCCCTCCTCGGCTTCCCAAAGTGATGGGATCATAGGTGTGAGCCACCACATCCAGACACAAAACTTTTTTTTTTTTTTTTTGAGACGCTTCTCTCTTGTCACCCAGGCTGGAGTGCAATGGCGCTATCTCGGCTCACTGCAGCCTCTGCCTCCCAGGTTCAAGTGATTCTCCTGCTTCAGCCTCCCTAGTAGCTGGGACCACAGGTGCATGCCACCAGGCATGGCTAATTTTTTTTTGTATTTTTAGTAGAGACAGGGTCTTACCATGTTAGCCAGGGTGGTCTCGAACACCTGACCTCGGGTGATCTACCTGCCTCGGCCTCCCAAAGTGCTGGGATTACAGGCGTGAGCCACCCGCCCAGCCACAAATACCTTTTTAAAGGCTTTAAATAAACTTCGGACACCTGTAGCTTTTTTGTTGTTGTTGTTTTTAGAGGCAGGGTCCCACTCTGCCATCCAGGTTAGAGTGCAGTACAGTGTGTTCAAGCTCACTGCAGTCTTGAACTCGTGGGCTCAAGCAATCTTCCCACCTCACCCTCCCCAGTCAGCTGGGACTACAGGCAAGGGCCACCATGTCCAGCTAATTTTTTTTTTTTTGGAGACAGTGTCTTGTTGTGTTGCCCAAACTGGTCTTAAACTCCAAACCTCAAGCGATTCTCCCACCTCAACCTCCCAAAGTGCTGGGATTATAGGCATAAACCACCACGCTCAGCAAATATTATATATAAGCCCGGGCAACATATCAAGACCCTGTCTCTATAAAAAAAATAAAACTGCTGGACGCAGTGGCTCACGCCTGTAATCCCAGCACATTGGGATGCTGAGGCAGTGGATCACCTGAGGTCAGGAGTTCGAGACCAGCCTGATCAACATGTCAAAACCCCATCTCTACTAAAAATACAAAATTTGCCGGGCATGGTGGCGCATGCCTGTAATCTCAGCTACTCAGGAGGCTGAGGCAGGAGAATTGCTTGAACCCTGGAAGCGGAGGTTGCAGTGAGCCGAGATTGCACCCTTGCAATTCAGCCTGGGTGACAGAGTGAGACTCTGTCTCAAACAATAATAATAATAATAATGATGTAAAAAATAAAAATAAATAAAGTAAAATAAAAAAATAAAATTGGCTGGGCGTGGTGGCTCTCACCTGTAATCCCAGCACTTTGGGAGGCCAAGACGGGCAGATCACCTGAGGTCGGGAGTTCAAGACCAGCCCGACCAACATGGAGAAACCCTGTCTCTACTAAAAATACAAAATTAGCCAGGCATGGTGGCGCATGCCTGTAATCCTAGCTACTCGGAGGCTGAGGAAGGAGAATTGCTTGAACCCAGGAGGCAGAGGTTGCGGTGAGCCAAGATCGCACCATTGCACTCCAGCCTGGGCAACAAGAGTGAGACTCTGTCTCAAAATAAATAAATAAATAAATAAATAATAAAATAAAATTAGCCAGGCATGGTGGTGCATGTCCATAGTCCTAGCTGCTTGGAGAGCTAGCACAGACGGATCACTTGAGCCCAGGGGTGTGAGACAGCAGTGAGCTATGATAGTGCCACTGCACTCCAGCCTGGGTGACAGAGCTAGACCCTGTCACTAAAAATGATAATAATAATAATTTTATATATTGATTATGTAGTGCAATAATGTTTGGCTATATTGAGTTAAATAAAGATTAATACAATTAATTTCGGCCAGGGATGGTGGCTCACGCCTGTAATCCCAGCACTTTGGGAGGCTGAGTTGGGCCGATCATGAGGTCAGGAGATCAAGACCAGCCTGGCCAACATGGTGAAACCTCGTCTCTACTAAAAATACAAAAATTAGCTGGACGTGATGGTGATTGCCTGTAATCCCAGCTACTAGGGAGGCTGAGGCAACGGAATCACTTGAACCCGGGAAGCGGAGGTTGCAGTGAGCCAAGATTGCACCACTGCACTCCAACCTGGGTGACAATCATAGTTCACTGTAGCTGGTTTCAAGCAATCCTCCTGCCTCAGCCTCCCAAAGTGTGGGCATTTCAGGCATGAGCCACTGCACCCAGCCCTGTTTCTCTTACTTTTAAAATTTGGCCAGTAGAAAAATGTAAATTGTGTGATTAGTAAAAAACGTTAAAATACATATTGTAATGTGGCTTATTGCTGGGCATGGTGGCTGATCCATACCTTAATATTTACATGACCTGGGACAAACTCGCATAACAACTGTAAGCCTCAGTTACCTCATCATCTGTGCTTAGCACTCAAAAAACTCAGCAGACCAGGTGCGGTGGCTCACACCTGTAATCCCAGCACTTTGGGAGGGTGAGGTGAGAGGATTGCTTGAGCCTGGGATTTCAGGACCAGCCTGAGCAACATAGTGAGACCCTGTCTTTTTCTTGTTGCTTTTTCTTTTTTTGAGAAGGAGTTTCACTCTTGTTGCCCAAGCTGGAGTGTAGTGATGCAGTCTCAGCTCACTGCAACCTCCGCCTCCTGGGTTCAAGTGATTCTTCTGCCTCAGCCTCCCAAGTAGCTGGGATTACAGGCCTGTGCCACTACGCTCAGCTAATTTTTATATTTTCAGTAGAGATAGGGTTTCACCATGTTGGGCAGGCTGGTCTCGAGCTCCTCACCTCAAGTGATCTGACCACCTCAGCCTTCCAAAGTGCTGGGATTACAGGCGTAAGCCACCACCCCAGCCTCAAACATTATATATATATTTTATATATATATAATATATATATAAACATTATATATATATATATATATTTTTTTTTTTTCTGTAAAGTGACTTTGTAAGGAAAAACTGCTGAACTGCTAGGTCGTAGGAGTTGTAGCCCAAGAAGCAATGGACCAAATCCTGGTTTATTCTCAGTCGTGCCTCTCATATATACCTCCTCCTTTCCATGCCAGCCCCTTCCTCCCAGTTAATGCCAGCACGATCTCTTCCCTGGACAGTTCCAATTCCCTCTAAACTCACCTTTCTTTTCTCATCTACTCCTCTGTAACTGATTGCTATCTTCCCAAAACAGGTATTTAAGTATGCTCCACCCTGCCTCCAGGATAAAGCCCCAATTTCCTAGCAATTCCCTGTGTGATCAAAAGACTAGGGTGACATCTGACCTCCTACTCTTCTACACTACTGCCCCTGGCTGTGCAGTTTCAGGCAAGTCATTTCATTTGCAAAATGGGATTAAGAATAGGCTGGGTGCGGTGGTTCATGCCTGTAACCCCAGTACTTTGGGAGGCTGAGGCTGGCAGATCTCTTGAGACTGAGAGTTAGAGACCAGCCTGGCCAATACTGCAAAACCCCGTCTCTACTGAAAATGTAAAGATTGG